ACTTTCTTCTGATTGGCGCAGCTACCGGAAGCCTCCCGAGGGGCAGAAACTGGCTGGCACAGCGCTTATGCATGGAAATAGATCTGGCTATGTGAGACTAGGCAGCTCTTGAAAACTCATCTCTTCCTCTTATAACACCTCTAATCCCTAACCTTTAACTTTCCTAGTTTATTACTTACATTAAGACAATAATTTTTCTTGTAGTACAGGTTTTCTGAAATATTAAATAATATGCAAATGAGGCAGAATCTAATGAAATATTTGTTAATTTGCATCAATTTAACAAACTGAAATCACTGGATTAAGTAATTTTCAAAATTATTGTTTAATTTTGTTGAGACACTAGACTGTTAAACATTAAAATGTTTTTACAGAAGGGCTTTATTTTATAAATCAAAAAGTACTGTCAACAGGAAAAAACAAACAATTTAATTTTTGACATGTTTTTGTGAATAAGATGTTCTATAATTCAGGCTGTGAATGATACCTGAACAAATCCCTCTGTAAAGACCTTCAGAACATAGTCAGGAAGACAACTGGAAAGTCTGTAAGTGCTACTGCAGTGGAGATTTTGGACTCAGCGTATGTAGAAAAACACAATTTCAGAAAACAGCCTGTAATGATAATTATTGTAAAATTCTACACATTTTCTTAGAAAATCAATATTTACAGAGCCAATATCGAAACCTTTCTGTGTAGTGCAAGGTTAAGTTAAGAGCATCGTGAGCAGTGAGATACTGGAAAGCACATCCGAGTCTGCAGAATCCTCTGAATGTGTGAAATTTTAACAATATTACATTTTTCACACCAGCTGAATGAAAGCAGGTGACAAAAAGCAAACAAAAAAAACACAAGACTGTGCACAAAGAGAAAGATTCTGTTCAGCTGTGCAGGACGTCCTCCAGCTCTTTCGACCAGACACCTGCGAGGAAACACAAGAGGACAGAGCAGGAAACATCACAGACAGTTCACAACCCCAAATGTAAAAACTATCAGTCACTTAGAAAGTAAGAGAAACTTTTAGGCACTTTGGATTGTTTACTGGAGGGTCAAGATTTTAAATAACTAAATATTTTTTTCTCCTTTCTGAATTATGGCAACGTTTTTGCTCTGGTTCAGTTTACAGAAGGAGGAGAGTCTCTGATGGGTTCTGACTTCTGATCTGACTCGTGTGTTGGATGGTTGATGAACGATAACTTGGACCTTTAGCTAAATTCCACAAAGCTGTTTGATCTATATTTTTCTGTCTTTGTTGTACCCTATTCTGTTAAATATGTGCATATTTAACATATATACAATCATCCATACACTTTATCTATATAGATATTTTTAAATGCTAAAAAATTTGTTTAAAAATCCGTCTTTATAGTGACTTTGGAGCTTCCTCGCTCTTCCTGAAAACAGAAAACACCCTAAATATCTGATCGATTGTCGTCACGCCCTCTTGACCATGACCCGGGCTGGTGGCTGTGTGTGTGAGTGGCTTTTAATTTGCTTTTTGCCTTTTGGGTGTTTGCTGTGTGCTTGGTGGGTTTTGTTTTTGTCTGTCTTCTCTTCCATGTCTCCTGGGGCTGGGGGGCGTGGTCTCCGGTTCACTACGGCTGTGGCACACCTGTTCTCTGTCACAATCAAGCACCTGTTCTGCATTCGCTCATCTGCACTCACTACTTAACCCCAGTCCTCGCTGGATTGTTGTGTAACCTGAGTACGTGGCACACCAGCCTCTGATCGCAGCCTAGTCCTAAGTCTGGTTAGTTCTGTATTTCTCGTTTGCCTGCTAATTCGCTCTGTCTTTTGCCTTCAGGAAATTCTGTCCTGAATTCCTGTCCCCAACAGAACCCGGCCCTTTGCCCCGATCCCCCTAAGCTCACTTATTCCTTCTGTTTATTTTTCAAATAAACCTCTTAAATTCACCGTCTGCTTTTGGGTACTACTTCAGACCCTGACAACTGTGAAGTCAAAACGTTAAGGCAATTTTAACACCGGCTGTGACATCACTGATGTTCAAACAGCAGTTACTTCATCTGAAATGCATTTAACTCTTCCAAATTCAGCCACAGTAGAAATGGTAAAAGTAGTAGGCCTTCCTCTTTTGTTTTTGCATTTAATTTGCCTTAAAGTGAATTTTGTTATTTCAAATGAACTCAAACCAAACCCCCATAGTGTGATTGAACTACAGTGAGCTTTGACTGTCATGTGAGAATGTGTGGCCACGTGCTGAACTACTTAAAATCTGTGTCAACAGCAGTTCCCATCTAATTATCAAGCAAAACTTGAAAAGTCAGAAAGAGAATTGGGTGCATTTGCGTCTTTTGGAGCAAATAGGCTACGCAAAGTGTAGTTTCGTCAGAAGTTGTGAAGCAATTCAAGTTTTCAAATAAACAGCTTAGGCAAACACTTTCTGTGAATTTTATTCAAGTCTTCTGCAGAAGGAACTTACAGGGACACAAATGCACATCCGAGTGAGCTCCAGTGTCTCAGCACAGGCAGCTTTTATCCTAATCTCAGGGTCAGCACTGTCTTACCACTAGAACATGTCGTCATTAAGAGGTCCTCAATCTAAATCTATCGCAGAGACATTCAGCCCTAAACAGCCAGGTACATGTTGTAAAACAATGAAAGACATGACCCCCTGGACGCATCACACACATTTACCCAGTACCTGATAAACTAGAGGCCCTCAGTGTGTAACATTAATTACATGACTGATGGTACTCATTCCCATTACAAAGTTGATGATACTCATGGCTGTAATAAACAAGAAGTAGAGGTTGCAAACCACAAACAAAACCAGTCACATAGACTGAGGACCACAGATCTGAGAAAAATGGAGAGAGGTCAGCTAGTATTGGCCATGTTTCATTCTGTCCAGAGACAAAGACAAAAAGGGATTTCTAGTAACTATTTTTTGATAAAGGCGAAAACCACCTCAAGCATGTGTAAAAACCTTCCATCACCCTTTTCTAATGTGATATTTCAAAATGCGCATAAAAATATGTTGACGGAAACATGGCTATAGACTAGTAGTCAGTGACGAAAGCAGGATGCCAGTTTACCGCGGGACTGTCTGAGGATGAACGCTGATGACGGTTCAGTGGTTATCGCACTAGTTTCTGTGTGATGGAGGATCACAGATCATTTTCTGTTTCTGTCGAGCTGCAAGAGAGAGAGAGAAGATAAACATGACGATATTTTTATTTAACTTCTGTTGTAATTTTTCATTCAATGTCAACATTTAAAACAACATGTTTATGGTAATTAGGAATGTGTCATACGGGACTTGCAACTCTGTTTGTTAGAAGGTTGGTCCATGGGACAAGTGACTAGTTTGGGTGCAGATCTAATAGAAGCAACAGTGGCACCATGTGGCCGACCACAGAGCACTTTACATTTTGGAGTTACAATTCCTGAGCTGTCAAGTTCAGAAGCAAAAATTGTTTTTGGTAACAAATCTCTCAGTATAAACCACACATACACCCAGACAGAGTTTCTGTCATCTCCCCTCTTTTACTCTTTACTTTTCACCTACACTGAAATATATGTAATACTTAAATGAGCCTGGGAAAGATACATATTGTAGTATTATTTGGCCCACTGGACATAAACTGTAGTAATTATTGAATAAATTGTTTAACTGCAACTAAATTTAGAAGACCTGCACACGTGCTGGTCAGTTTGACATTTCACCTGTAGGTGGCGCTACAGAGACATGATAAGTTGATATACTCACTCGCTGGTGTGATTCAATTACATTTTGCACAACTCATCTTTTCATAAAGCTGAGATAAAACACCCTGAGGGCTTTCTAGTTATTTCTTGTGTTATTTGAGATGTCTTTCAAACATCACTTGTTTATGACACAGAACTGCTGAGTATTTTCAAAACCACTTACAGGTCAAACTATATTCACCTTTTCTCCAGGTAGTGACAGTGATGCTGATCATGATGATTAAACAGAGTATCCCAATCCCCACACGAACAGACGGCCACAGGTAAAGAGCCGCTGGAAGAAAAGGAAGTATTCATAATCAGACCTTCATCAATCACAAAACATTTGGTTCATGCTTCAGTCTGAGTTTGTGGCTCTTAGGAGGGTTTGGGGACCTGTTACATGTCTGTGTCCACGAGGATCCTTTTTAAATGGATTTATTCTCTTTTTGTTAGAATAACTTGTTTTTAATTTTGTTTTTCTTTAAGTTCCTGATTAATTTATTTTTTAGATCTGTTTCATCTTAAACGTAAAGTCCACTGAATCCGCCTGCGTAAGGTCCCTTTATACTCCTGCGTAGGGGCTACGTGCGTACCTGCGCCGTAGGCTACGCACGCAGCCATGCATTTATACTTGTGCGTGGGTCTGTCCGTCAATTACAGCCCCAAACGCTAGTCGGCAGTAGCGCTACAGCATCCACTGTGTTGGGCAAGCTAACTTCCGGTTTAACGTAAACTGTAAACGAGCGGCTGGTGTAGCCTTTTCAAATGTTACCGACCGAATGGATCACATTCTGATAGCGAAACGAGTCATTTCGCTCGGGTTGCAACGGTCAAATATTATTCACTGTGTTTCAGCCGCCGTTTTGGCCGCTAGCAAATGTTACTTCAAAGCACGGGGTACTTCCTGTCGACTCTGAGGCATTGCGAGGCTACCCAGCCGACCAATCACAGAGCTTATGGTCCGTGTCGACTCGACATGTAGCTACATTTTTGAGGAGGTGCACGTCAGCCTACACCGTCGAATTGACACAGAAATATAAATTTCACTTTACGGCTGCGTTGCGGTTGCCGGAGGTAATCGCGGCCATTCTAGTCAATGTTTGTGAGTCCACCAGACGAGGCTCTCCGCTCCGCAGAGAATAGCTAGCGAGTCTATTTTTGATGGAAGCCGCGTCAACCAGGCAGGAAGTCAGACACAGAACGGCAGAGAGAATCCGGCCAATTTTCAAAATAAAACACCCTGTGCAGACTCCCGATCATAAAACAACAATAAACACGGTTAAAACACAGATAAAGAAACCATTTAACTACGTAGCCTACTCTCTCATAGTAGAAGCACAATAAGCAAGCAGTAATTACCAAATCAACAAAATCTAAACATGTCAGCAAAATCAGGCCGGCAAAACGCTCTGATTCAGACATGCTCCCTGTGGGGTATGCCTCCGTGCAGACGACAGAACAAAATGTGGTCACAGAGACCTTGAAGAATGTAGTAGAAGCACAAAAGACAAATTAACGTTTAACAATAAACATGGGGAAGGCTACACGCTCTGCTGCCCATAATGCTACACTCGTTCTCATTCCCGGGTTTCTTGTTGGGACCTTTTTTTGTTTGTTGTAGTGTTTGCAGGTGGTGTAAATGGTCCGGTTGCTGCTGCCGGAGGAGACTTTGTTGCCGCTGACAATGTTGTTTGTCTTGTTGTTGGTGTTGAGGTGGTTGCACGTGGTGTCTTGTTACCTTAGAGGACAGATAGTATACTGCATAAATCTGGACACAGAACTGCACAGAAGAACAACACAGTCATGGCATTTAGCAAAAGTGTTCTCATGACATAAACCACTTGAATGCGGAGGACGGGGTTTACTTGACATTTGAAATGCAATTATCCTCTCTCGAGTTTCACTTGAAAGAAGCATTAAACCTCTTGGTTGTCCTGCATATTTACTTTTATTTAGGCTTGTATACAGTGATTTTTCTCTGCATGATCTGCTTTGTCAGAGGAGGTGTCAATGGTGCGGATTTTTGTGGTGCCTTGTTGTTGTAGAAAAATAGATGTATATTTCAGGGCAATAAAATGCATCTCATGAAACAGAATGTCTCACAATTATTCACCATGTTTAAAAATAGAAGAAGGCCGGGTGCAGTTTTTGTGGTGAGTCATCGAGCACCAGAGTTCTCACAACGGAAACCACTTGAACACCGAGCAGGGTCTACGTTACTTCCTATTCTGCAGAAACAGTCTCTTGACATGTATTTGAAATCAGCACTGAACCTGCTCTCTCTGCTGTTTCTCTTTTATTTAGCTAATTAAAATGTCTGTGTCATGTTTTCTGTCTCAGATCTCTCACCTTTGGTCACAGTCAGATACGCAGCTGGTTTTCCATCACAGTAGTAAAGTCCAGAGTCTTCAGGCCGCAGGTCTGTTATAGTCAGCGTATTGTCAACTGGTGAAACATTAAAACGTCCTTTTTGCTGTATTTCACCAGAGTCTCCGCTCCATGTTGGAACAGCTGATCCTCCAACATCAGGGGGGCATTTCAGAGTGACCCTGGTCCTCTCTGCAGCCGTGACTCTGACTGTCCCTGAACACAACAAAGAAAACAACATTCATGTTTCACAATGCATCAGAGTTAATTTATTTAATGAATTACTTTATGTGGATTAAAAAGTGTATTTAACTTCTCGACCTGTCTGCTGCAGAGAGCCACCGAGTTGCTCTGTGATATTGCTTCATATTTATACAGAAAAGTAAGCGAGGAACTACCTGTACTTAGTTCTGAAAATATGTGTCTGTGATTTGATTCCAGCTATCGTTGTAATTTTACTTCTCTATGAAACAAGTTAGCATAGCATAACCCTGAGCGATCCGAACTGCATTTAGAAAACAAGTGTTTTAAAAGTTGCTTCCTTGCGGACATACCTGACTAAACTTCTTATGTTAAACAAATCATAGTTAGGGATCATTATGATCCATTAATTGCTATTTAACTACAGTAAAATGTTTCTTTTGGGTTCATTATGCTGTAGTGAACCAGATAAAAGGTGAATATTTGCAGGTTGTGTTAATTTGCTTTAGAAGAGCTGCGTTCTACCAGCCACCTAAAAAGATAAACACCCACAGTGGGACCAATTTAGTCGCATAAACCTCTAAAAAAATATATATTTTTGAGAACTTATTTACCAGCGCAGTGCCGAGTAAAGATATAACCCCCACCCTGCTGCTTTTCATTAACATTAAAGTCAGACTTGCCACCGACAACACTGGGAGAAATCTCAGGGAAAATCAGGAGTGATCAGTGATTTTCTGTGTGTCAAATTAAAAATATGTATGTTTAATCAATATATTACAAAGCTTTGACAATGCACAGTGTCCTGATTCATGGGTCCTCACTTCCATAGTCCTCCACTGGTTTTCACTTCTGTTACACACAAGGAGAAGGACACACTGGAGGATACTTAAAATAAAAGGAGAGAGAAATGTAATGTAATTTTAAGTGTGCAACTGTATTAGGAAAATACAAGTATCAGATCGGGACTCTGAATCGGCAGATAATCAATATTAAATGACTCGGATAGGGATGGGGGGGCGAAAAAACTTAAACTGTAATGTATTTGATTTCATATTTAATGAAGCATATTAGAATTGTGTGTATATAATATGAATAAAATTACCAATTTAAAAATACAAAGAAAAGTACAACAAAATGCTTCTCAACCACAAGAACAGGAAGTTAATGTAAACAAAATTACTTTCCTTCGTTTCCTGCCACCATAGTGTTGTAATAAATGAATTAGTATCTGATTCAGAGTTTTACATTGTAATTATTTTAATTTAAAATTATTTATTAAAAGTTGTCAACGTTTAATAAAAATGAATCATTCAGCTCAGACATGATTCTGAAACAGGAAGCAGAAAACTTTATTATAGTGTGATGTTACCTTGTGGGATCACCGTCAGCTCCACAGCTGGTTCATTATTACAGAAGTATCTTCCAGCGTCTGAGACGGTAACTCTGCTGATGTAAAGTGACTTATCTCCCGGTGAACTGTATCGTCTGTTGGGATCATTGTGTCTTAAGTCTCCGTCACCATCAGCTGTAAGTATGTTGACTTTGTTTCCATTAATCTCTCTGCTCCACGTCACTTTACCCTCCACAGGGTGAGGACATCGCAGAGTGACCTGGTGACACTGCAGAATGGCCGGGTTCTCATGCTCCTCGTGATTTATAGCTGCAAAAGAAACACTTTACATTTAAGTAAAAAGTTCACATTTAACTGTCAAATGCAGTTATTGCACGTTGAATACAGCTTTACTTGGTGGTTTTACATTATAAGTCACACTAATGAGAACATACCAAAGATTGCATGTTCTTCATGAATTATTTCAGTTGTGTTGAGTTTGACTCAAGCCAATCATACTTTAGTAAAAGTACTAATACAATACTGGAAAAATACTCTGTTACAACACTCTGCATTGAGAAGTATGTAAGTATAATCGGGAAAAGTATTAAAAGTACTGAAAGTAAAAGTACTCTGTGCAGTAAAATGTCCCTGTTATATATTCCATCATCAGATTAAGTCTTTATGCATTAATTGAAAGCAGAATTAACTGCTGTAGTTGTGGAGGTGGAGCTCAATTTGAACCATTCTGTATCAGACTTTCATTCAGGATCAATCTGCTGATTTGTTTTTGTTTTTTCTCCATTAACTGATTGATTTATTGGTTTGTAAAGATTCTGCCATCAGTTACCCAGAGCCCAAAGTGACACCTTCACAATGCTTGTTTAATAAAATTATTATAATAAATAATCCCATTTGAGAAGCCAGAACCATGAAATGCATTTTTGTGTATGATCAATCTGTTGGGTAGTTGTTTTTTTTTTAAACAAAACATCGTATTTTATAAACTCTGTATCTTTTTAAATGCATACTTAAAGTATTTGAGTAAATTTTTAAAGGTTCTTACCTGCAGAGACTTTACAGCTCAGAGCAAAGGCTAACAGGCAGCTGCAGATAATCGCGCTCATCTTCACACAGACTGAAATGACTCAGTCCACAGAATAATGTCTGACATCAGTGAGGCCAAACAGGAAGTGTGTGGCTGCCAACGCTTGTCCCTCAAACAAAACACACATCTTCAACACAACTCAGTGGGGTTTTTTTTTTATTTTGGTCGATAAAAACTGATGTTTCCTTTAGTGTGAACGTGAGTGTGTTGGTCCTGGAAAGTTTGAGATGTTTAGTAGTAGAACAAAGACTGATCTAAAACTGTTTTAAAAGGATGTGTAAACTGTGTCTCACATTTTGTCTTTTTGTGGATAAATAACTGATGGTTCCTGTTATCACTTTTCCTTCACAACTAATTCTGCATTTTAGGTCCACATGAATACTGTGTAAGAAAGCCACAGGAATCACATGTAGGTCTGTGGCTTTACAGCTTAATTGTGTATTTGTAAAAATGTGACCACCTCAGACAGCTGCGAGGACGACACTGTTTGAAATTGCTGGAGGTGACTGGATGATTTAGCTCTGTGGGATCAGTGACTGGTGGTGACAAGTGACATCTAAAATCAACGTCTTTTAAAATTAAATATGAATTTTCTTGGCTACATTTCTAACATGTTACAGCTAAAGAAAATATTTTTCTTTTTCTGTGAGGAAGATGTGAACATCAAGTGCGTTGTTCTTGTACTACAGGGTCGAGCTAGTTAGTCCTATGTTTTAAGATGAGGTAAAGAGAACATCAGACTGTTATCTTGTTCTGTCAACCTTGTTGCTAACTCACTGTAGAAAAACATACTTGGACAAACACAGAGGTCACATTTATGTTTTATTACATGTTCACAAATGTTTCACTTTTACAAAAGTTAAGGATCTCAGCAGCAGAGTCTTCAGTCCTGAACAGGGATGTTTGTAACATAACCACACAAAATATTGTAATTACCTAATTGTGTTCACACTGTGGTTAAAAATTGGAAATGCTAACATTAGCAGCTAAGCAGTACACTCAGGGATGTGCTGGGACTGAAATTCAGCCCTGGACTTTAAGACGGAGAGGCCTTTTATGCGAGCGCCCTTTAGGCTCTTATTTTTATTTTTTTGCAGTTATTTTAACACTAACAATGTTTTTGTGGTAAAAAGAGAATAAGATTATGCTGAAGACCTTCAAGAAAATTGAAATTGACACCTGCCTCCTACGTTAGTATGAGCAAGTCACCCCTGCACTGAACAAGACCGGGTCACGCTAGCCTGAGCAGGAACACTTAAGCTCTGAATAGGCCTCTCCCTGGCTCAGCTTCCCCCGCTGGACCCTGCCTCTGATTGTACAGCTACATATGCACGAGAATATAAAAATATACAATATACTTGCCTATACATAAATGCTTAATGCATACTAATCGTGCACATGTCCCTGCTGCTGCTGGGTCCTGCCACTGCAACCTTTCCACCACAGAAAATGTGCATTTAGCTGCTTCTTGTGCCAACATTTCTATTCTTCTACATTCCTCTTGTTTCGGCAAACACTCATTTCTCTTTCCTCCTACTTTATTCCCCCCTCATATTTACATCTCCGCCCCTCCATTTACACGTCCGCCCCTGAGTACACAGTACAAAGGAAGTATAAAAGCCTCAGAGCTATTTTAAAAGGTGACAAACTAGTATGACTCCTGCACGTCTATGAAGTACTGTTTAATAGTACTGGGTTGAACGCTGAAAGACTGTCGCCCTGTATGAGGATGGACGCTGAAGACGGTTCAGTTGTTACCCCTCTCGTTTCTGTGTGATGGAGGATCACAGATCATTTTCTGTTTCTGTCGAGCTGCAAGAGAGAGAAGATAAACACGGAGATGATGGACAATATTTTCATTTAACTTCTGTTGTAACTTTTTCCCTGTAAACATTTGTAACAACATGTTTATGGTAATTATTTGGAACGTGGTTATCCATGACCTGCAACTCTGTTTGTTAGCAGAATGTCTCAAAAACAACCTTTCAGTTTCAGTGACACCTGGAAGAAGGTTGAGCCATGGGACAAGCCATTAGTTTGAGTTAGTAGCAGTAACAGAGCCACCATGTGGCCGTCCATAGATCACTTTATATTACAGTTCAGACAAATCTGTCAGTATAAACCACAAACACATGCACCCAGACAGGGTTTCTGCCATCTCCCCTCCTTTACCCTGATGTTTTACCTTCAGCTTCTCCAACACTGAAACATATGATACTAAGATGAGCCTGGAAAAATGTAAGATGTTTTTATTTGAAAACCACTTGCAGTTCAAACTATATTCACCTTTTTCTCCAGGTAGTGACAGTGATGCTGATCATGATGATTAAACAGAGTATCCCAATCCCCATACGAACAGACGGCCACAGGTAAGGAGCCGCTGGAAGAAAAGGAAGCATTCATAATCAGACCTCATGAGTAACGAACATAGAAACACAATAAATATATAGACATGATTCTTAAAATAGCTGAAGGCCATATGAATAATAAAGGTAGCTGAAAACGTCAAAATTGGATTTAACAATGAAGGAACTAGAAATTCAAATTTTGCATCCTCACAAAAATCTAAACACTCGTTTGCGCCATTAAAATTTCCTTTAGTAAAACTATATTTTGGCATGTTTGTGTTCAAATGTGTCCTGAAACAAAGACACCTTCTCCAAACATCATTAATGCTCCCACACTTCTTTGAAACACTGTTGTTACAGCAATGCAACTTTTTAGCTGCAGATTTATTTTTCCAAAACTATGCAGGTGGTTCAACAACAGCTGTGGTCAGATTCTACTTTAAATGTTGTTTGATTTCTTATTTAATTCTGTATATTCCTGACCAAGCCCACTAGGTAGGGGGCCCCAGGGCCAGCGCCAACTACAGAGACAAATCTACCAAAAAGAGACAGAAAATGACTTCAGTCCGGGAGTCTCGCTCCTATGTTGGAGGATTTGGGGTCCTCTTAGACATCTGTGTCCAGGAGCCTGTTGTCCTCAGGACGCTGTAATACATCCATGACTTAAGGTTTCATTTTAGGCTTTCAGACGTATGTAAATGCTCTGTATTTGTATAGCACCTTTCTAGTCTTTTTCGACCACTTTTACATCGCATTCACCATTCACACACCTTCATGCACTGGTGGAACAGTCACCAGGGACCCAAGGTCACTTCGACATGTAGCCTGGAGGGATTGAACCGCTGATCTTCCAGTTAACGTGCAACCCGCTCCACCTCCTGGGCCACAGTCGCCCTCTTCATCCTTTGTATGTATTTATATCTCTCTTTATGAATGAATATCTGCTTTAATCTTGTTCTTTGTTTGTCTTTGAGTTCTTGATCACATTTAATCGATTATCATTTAGATTTTTTGAATCTTTCTGCTGCTCTTCTTCTTTCTGGGTTTCTTGTTGTGACTTTGTTTCGTTACTGTAGTCTTACCTGTATTTGCCTCTGATGTTAATGTTGTACTGTAGGTGTGCTGTTCAGTTGTTTTCTTACCTTCTGTTTGGGACAGAGGGAATACAAAGTAAAGTACGGCAAGCCCTTTTTAAGATTGGCAGGATTCCCATTAAATATATTCACAATACATTTAGGACCATTAAAAGTTTCAGTCAAAATGTACACTTTGAAACATTAGAATGAACCGTTGAGTCCTTTGTAAATATCTTGACTATAGTCAAAACTCATTGCAAGACTCCAGTTTCAGATTAATTCATTTTGAGTTTCTGAATTAATTCTTTAATAAAAAATAGACCTAATCAGACCTACACTGAAGATATCTTAATCTTTAAATAAAGCTACGTCACCTGGTATTCACATTTAAAATGTTTATTACAAATTATCAAAATTAAATTGTAGATTTCTCTAATTATATATTCCGTACAATACAGGGTTCATCCTTACAAGTCAAATGTAATTAAATAAACAAATTAAGCCTCTGACTGGTCATTTAAAATGTAAAAGGGCTTGCCATGTTTTACTAATGTAAGACAGAAATCTTTCAGCATGTTTAAAAAAGGAACAAGAACTTTTTCATTTCATGTCTACCAGCAGTGATCTCTCAACTTGAACCACAGTCATGCAGAGCGAGCTGTGCGCTCAACTTCCCATATTAGACTTTAACCTCAAGTTTCATTTGCACGCTGAGTTAAACTTGACCTCAGACTGTTACTGAAAATATCTGCAGCGTCTTCTTTAAATAACTGCTTTACGCTTTTTTCTTTGTCTCTCAGACTGATCACCTTTCATCAATTTAACTATTTAACATTTCGTTCACCTTTTTCTTTTGTTGTATCAGTGTTTGCAGGTGGTGTTGATGGTGCTGTTGCTGCTGCTGGACGAGGCTCTGTTGGTGTTGATGTTTGTCTTGTTGTAGTTGCTGGTGTTGATGTTGTTGTTGTTGGTCTTGTTGTTGAGGTTGGTTTGGGTGGTGCCTTGTTACCTTCAGTGTGACAAACAGAATGCTGCATAAATCAGGACACAAATGTAATGCATAGAGAAAATATATATTACAGGGCAAAACATGTTTCTCATGAGACAGAATGTCTCACAATAATTCACTATTTTTGTGGTGAGTCGTGAAGCAACAGAGTTCTCATCATGATTCACGTTACTTCCTATTCTGTAGAAACACGTATTTCAAATCAGCATTAAACCTGCTCTCTAGTCTGTATTTTATGAAAATATTTCCAGTACTGTTCTGCAGTTCAAGTTCAAATTGTTAAAAACAATGACCAAAGTGCTTTCCAAATTCAGGAGAAAACAGTTGTGCCTCTGAGCTGTTTTTCTTTTATTTAGCCAATTAAAATGTGTCATATTGTTCCTCAGATCTCTCACCTTTGGTCACAGTCAGATACGCAGCTGGTTTTCCATCACAGTAGTAAAGTCCAGAGTCTTTAGGCCGCAGGTCTGTTATAGTCAGCGTCTTGTCAACTGGTGAAACATTAAAACGTCCTTTTTGCTGTATTACACTGGAGTTTCTGCTCCATGTTGGAACAGCTGATCCTCCAACATCAGGAGGGCATTTCAGAGTGACGTTGGTCCTCTCTGCAGCCGTGAGTCTGACTGTCCCTGAACACAACAAAGAAAACAACATAATGCTCCATCATGAAGTCTCAGTACTTAAACAGTCTCATGATGTAATGTCCTGTGTGAGACCAGTGCACAAGAATAAACATTCATACTCAAAACAACTACTTGTAGCTTTCAAAATGCTTCAGTACAACATTTTAACAACTTCTAAACAAATTAAACTTAAATTAAAATTAAGTTTTTTGTAAGTCTCAGTTTGAACATAGATGTGATCACAGAGCAAGGATACTGTTTTCTGGCAGTTTTCTAGATAAATATTCTGATCTGATATTTAGTTTCATATTTAGTGAAATATTTTAAAATCATATATAAAATAAGATTACTGACTTAAACAAATACACAGTAAAGTACAACAAGTAACAGGAAGTAAATTTGAAATAAATCCACTCTGTTTCTGCCAATCTGCTGTGGCATTTCATTAAAATGCTACTTTGAGCAAAGTGTTCAAGAAATAAGGAATGATTATATGATATATTGCAAAATAGTGTAATTAAAACTAAAACCCACTTTTCCTTAATGTGCCGATGAATTTCAGTTTTTTCAAAGTTGAAGAAAAATGAAACATTTATCAGAGACATGGTTTTATAACAGGAAGAGAAAACAGGAAGTAGAACAACGTTATTAAAGTCTGATGTTACCTGGTGGGAGCACCGTCAGATCCACAGCTGGTTCATTATTACAGAAGTATCTTCCAGCGTCTGATGCAGCAGCTCTGAGAATGAGAAGTGACTTATCTACCTGTGAACTGTATCGTCTGCCTGGGTCGTTGTGTCTTATCTCTCTGTCACCATCAACTGTAAGTATGTCAACTTTGTTTCCATTAATCTCTCTGCTCCACGTCACTTTACCCTCCACAGGGTGAGGACATCGCAGACTGAACGAGTTCTTCTCCTCAACTGCTTCATGATTTATTGCTGCAAAAGAAACAGATTTTTTTTATGAATCAAAAGTTCACATTTTACTGTCAAATGCAGCGATTGCACATCAAATACAACCTCATTATAGTTTTATTATAACCATTAAAAAGACTTTTAACAATGTTTAACAAATTAGTTACCAATTAATTCTGTCGACTGATCAATCAGTTAACCAAAACTTTCAGCCGTACTTGGATAAAGTGTTAAAGTGTAGTTTAATCTATAAACATATTTTATAAACTCTCTATACCTATCAAAAGTTTTGTAAAGTACCTCAAATTCATACTTAATACAGTACTTGAGTAAATGTACTGGCCACTGCCAATAACAAATATATTTTAACAGGTGAGTAACTGATGAATTTAAAAAAGTTCTTACCTGCAGTGACTTTACAGCTCAGAGCAAACGCTAACAGGCAGCTGCAGATAATCACGCTCATCTTCACGCAGACTGAAGTGACTGACAGAATAATGTCTGACCTCAGCTTATCGAGGCTGAACAGGAACTGAGTGATCACCTACGTTTGTCTCCACATCCTCAACAGTGTCTGTTTGTGGTCGATGAATAATGATGTTTCCTTTAGTGTGAACATGAGCTCACACATCTTAACCAACTACACATACCGTGTTGGTGCTGGAGAGTATTATGTGTTTAGTAGTATGATTTTTCCACGTACAGTAAAAGATTAGCATGTCACAGGGCAGTTCGCTGCATGACGTCCAGCTGCATCTTCTATGAATTAGATATTTTCTGTGGCAACTAAAGTTGTTAAGGTTTGAAAAAGGCGGTGGTCATAAAAAGAGTTAACATTAAGATCTTTGTATCAGCAGCGCAGCAGCTTGATCCTGACTGCTGGTTAAAGGTCCAGTGTGTAGTATTTTCAAATGTATATATTTCTCTATATCTATAACATGTAGTTAAAATAGTCTTTCCCTGTGATAAAGTTGTGTTTTGTACTTCTTTCAAGAGAGCGTGCGGCTCCCTTGAGTGTTTTTTACCTGAGGATCGTTTACACCGCCATGTAGGCTATTCTATAGCAAAAGTGATCATTAAACATTTTTCTGTTCGGTAAAAATCTACTTTGAATTTTGGAATTGATAATAAATACATTTTTTTGGACTTTTAAACTTATGTGTGTGTTCTGGTCTAGATGCCCAATGGGAGTCTGAAAAAACAAGCAGAACAGTAGCCTAAGGACCCTGTTATAGGCCTACATAATAATAATAATAATAATAAGAAGAAGAAGAAAGAAGAAAAATAAGAATACAGCCTAATAAACTAACATTATGCTGCATTAAATTTAGAATATATGGTAAGGTAGGGACTTGGTTGTATCTAGTGAAAACATTGCTACATTGTCACCCCAGGATGAAAACAAATGTGTGAAGTGGCATAACTGCCTCTTCAGTCACTTCCTGGCGCTGGGCCTGCTGTGCTCACACGGTTCCTCCTTGCTCACCTCACGCTACCTCCGCTAAACGCCAGCCGAACCACGCCATCTTAGCCTGCCTGCCTCCTGTTGACCTCAGCCTTGCCAGCAACCTCACCAACAGATCATTTATTAAGAAAGAGTGTTGCTTTTAATACAATATATTGTGTTCTGGATCCACTTCTGCATCTACCTACAACATAATGTAACATCAAATGGCTTTCCAGTCGAGGCAGACGGGTTAGATTGATCGTGTTGAACGCTGTACTGAGATCGAGCAGGAGTAAAATGACACAGGAACCAGTTGACAGAGCGAAGGATGTGGTTACGTACCTTAAGCAGAGCTGATTCTGTTCTCCAACCAGACTGGAATTTGGAGGTGTTGAACAAGTTCAAATAGGAAGAGACCAAGTCGTCTTTTCCTGGAAATAAATGGTCAAGATGGGCCTGTAGTTGTTATGGCCAGTGGGGTTGAGGCTGGCTTTCTTTAGTTGTGCAATTGCATGTTTAAAAGTGGAAGACAAATCCGTGTGTTTGAGAGCTAAAATTATAGCCAAAACAAAGGGGCGGACTGTGGTAAAAAAAAAATAGCTTGACAGTAATGCTTTCAGTTCATATGCGGTTTAACATAATGTTGACCACCTCAGACAGCTGGAGGACGACACTGGTTCAAACTGCTGGAGGTGTCTCTGTGGGATCAGGGGGTGAGATGTTAGATCTTATGTTGTCAAACCACCTTGTTTTAAAACAGTAACCCTTTAAAAGGTTGGCTATATAATATGCTACAGCTAAAGACAAAGCTACAGTATCCTGAAAATCTGGGAGGAAAATGTGAACAGTAAGTGCATTTTACTTGAACTACAGAGAAGAGCAAGTTGTTTAAGTTGTCTGTCGGGATCATTGTGTCTTAAGTCTCCGTCACCATCAGCTGTAAGTATGTTGACTTTGTTTCCATTAATCTCTCTGCTCCACGTCACTTTACCTCCACAGGGTGAGGACATCGCAGAGTGACCTGGTGACACTGCAGAATGGCCGGGTTCTCATGCTCCTCGTGATTTATAGCTGCAAAAGAAACACTTTACATTTAAGTAAAAAGTTCACATTTAACTGTCAAATGCAGTTATTGCACGTTGAATACAGCTTTACTTGGTGGTTTTACATTATAAGTCACACTAATGAGAACGTACCAAAGATTGCATGTTCTTCATGAATTATTTCAGTTCTGTTGAGTTTGACTCAAGCCAATCATACTTTAGTAAAAGTACTAATACAATACTGGAAAAATACTCTGATAAAACACTCTGCATTGAGAAGTATGTAAGTATAATCAAACAAAATACACATCTTCAACACACCTCAGTGGGTTTTTTGTTTTTTTTTTGGTCGATAAAAACTGATGTTTCCTTTAGTGTGAACGTGAGTGTGTTGGTCCTGGAAAGTTTGAGATGTTTAGTAGTAGAACAAAGAGTTTTTGTGGCTTTACAGCTTAATTGTGTATTTGTAAAAATGCTTTCTACATCTGTCAAGCGTTCAGTTCTTATATGCGGTTTAAGATAATGTGACCACCTCAGACAGCTGCGAGGACGACACTGTTTGAAACTGCTGGAGGTGACTGGATGATTTAGCTCTGTGGGATCAGTGACTGGTGGTGACAAGTGACATCTAAAATCAACGTCTTTTAAAATTAAATATGAATTTTCTTGGCTACATTACTAACATGCTATAGCTAAAGAAAATATTTTTCTTTTTCTGTGAGGAAGATGTGAACATCAAGTGCGTTGTTCTTGTACTACAGGGTCGAGCTAGTTAGTCCTATGTTTTAAGATGAGGTAAAGAGAACATCAGACTGTTATCTTGTTCTGTCAACCTTGTTGCTAACTCACTGTAGAAAAACATACTTGGACAAACACAGAGGTCACATTTATGTTTTATTACATGTTCACAAATGTTTCACTTTTACAAAAGTTAAGGATCTCAGCAGCAGAGTCTTCAGTCCTGAACAGGGATGTTTGTAACATAACCACACAAAATATTGTAATTACCTAATTGTGTTCACACTGTGGTTAAAATTCGAAATGCTAACATTAGCAGCTAAGCAGTACACTCAGGGATGTGCTGGGACTGAAATTCAGCCCTGGACTTTAAGACGGAGAGGCCTTTTATGCGAGCGCCCTTTAGGCTCTTATTTTTATTTTTTTGCAGTTATTTAACACTAACAATGTTTTTGTGGTAAAAAGAGAATCAGATTATGCTGAAGACCTTCAAGAAAATTGAAATTGACACCTGCCTCCTACGTTAGTATGAGCAAGTCACCCCTGCACTGAACAAGACCGGGTCAAGCTAGCCTGAGCAGGAACACTTAAGCTCTGAATAGGCCTCTCCCTGGCTCAGCTTCCCCCGCTGGACCCTGCCTCTGATTGTACAGCTACATATGCACGAGAATATAAAAATATACAATATATTTGCCTATACATAAATGCTTAATGCATACTAATCGTGCACATGTCCCTGCTGCTGCTGGGTCCTGCCACTGCAACCTTTCCACCACAGAAAATGTGCATTTAGCTGCTTCTTGTGCCAACATTTCTATTCTTCTACATTCCTCTTGTTTCGGCAAACACTCATTTCTCTTTCCTCCTACTTTATTCCCCCCTCATATTTACATCTCCGCCCCTCCATTTACACGTCCGCCCCTGAGTACACAGTACAAAGGAAGTATAAAAGCCAAAGCTATTTTAAAAGGTGACAAACTAGTATGACTCCTGCACGTCTATGAAGTACTGTTTAATAGTACTGGGTTGAACGCTGAAAGACTGTCGCCCTGTATGAGGATGGACGCTGAAGACGGTTCAGTTGTTACCCCTCTCGTTTCTGTGTGATGGAGGATCACAGATCATTTTCTGTTTCTGTCGAGCTGCAAGAGAGAGAAGATAAACACGGAGATGATGGACAATATTTTCATTTAACTTCTGTTGTAACTTTTTCCCTGTAAACATTTGTAAGAACATGTTTATGGTAATTATTTGGAACGTGGTTATCCATGACCTGCAACTCTGTTTGTTAGCAGAATGTCTCAAAAACAACCTTTCAGTTACACCTGGAAGAAGGTTGAGCCATGGGACAAGCCATTAGTTTGAGTTAGTAGCAGTAACAGAGCCACCATGTGGCCGTCCATAGATCACTTTATATTACAGTTCAGACAAATCTGTCAGTATAAACCACAAACACATGCACCCAGACAGGGTTTCTGCCATCTCCCCTCCTTTACCCTGATGTTTTACCTTCAGCTTCTCCAACACTGAAACGTATAATACTAAGATGAGCCTGGAAAAATGTAAGATGTTTTTATTTGAAAACCACTTGCAGTTCAAACTATATTCACCTTTTTCTCCAGGTAGTGACAGTGATGCTGGTCATGATGATTAAACAGAGTATCCCAATCCCCATACGAACAGACGGCCACAGGTAAGGAGCCGCTGGAAGAAAAGGAAGCATTCATAATCAGACCTCATGAGTAACGAACATAGAAACACAATAAATATACAGACATGGTTCTTAAAATAGCTGAAGGCCATATGAATAATAAAGGTAGCTGAAAACGTCAATATTGGATTTAACAATGAAGGAACTAGAAATTCAAATTTTGTATCCTCACAAAAATCTAAACACTCGTTTGCGCCATTAAAATTTCCTTTAGTAAAACTATATTTTGGCATGTTTCTGTGTTCAAATGTGTCCTGAAACAAAGACACCTTCTCCAAACATCATTAATGCTCCCACACTTCTTTGAAACGCTGTTGTTACAGCAATGCAACTTTTTAGCTGCAGATTTATTTTTCCAAAACTATGCAGGTGGTTCAACAACAGCTGTGGTCAGATTCTACTTTAAATGTTGTTTGATTTCTTAAATACTGAAATTGAAATACTGAAATTGATTTGTTGTAGTTGTAAATTCTGTATATTCCTGACCAAGCCCACTAGATAGGGGGCCCCAGGGCCAGCGCCAACTACAGAGACAAAACTACCACAAAGAGACAGAAAATGACTTCAGTCCGGGAGTCTCGCTCCTATGTTGGAGGATTTGGGGTCCTCTTAGACATCTGTGTCCAGGAGCCTGTTGTCCTCAGGACGCTGTAATACATCCATGACTTAAGGTTTCATTTTAGGCTTTCAGACGTATGTAAATGCTCTGTATTTGTATAGCACCTTTCTAGTCTTTCCGACCGCTTTTACATCGCATTCACCTTTCACACACCTTCATGCACTGGTGGAACAGTCACCAGGGACCCAAGGTCACTTCGACATGTAGCCTGGAGGGATTGAACCGCTGATCTTCCAGTTAACGTGCAACCCGCTCCACCTCCTGAGCCACAGCCGCCCTCTTCATCCTTTGTATGTATTTATATCTCTCTTTATGAATGAATATCTGCTTTAATCTTGTTCTTTGTTTGTCTTTGAGTTCTTGATCACATTTAATCGATTATCATTTAGATTTTTTGAATCTTTCTGCTGCTCTTCTTCTTTCTGGGTTTCTTGTTGTGACTTTGTTTCGTTACTGTAGTCTTACCTGTATTTGCCTCTGATGTTAATGTTGTACTGTAGGTGTGCTGTTCAGTTGTTTTCTTACCTTCTGTTTGGGACAGAGGGAATACAAAGTAAAGTATGGCAAGCCCTTTTTAAGATTGGCAGGATTCCCATTAAATATATTCACAATACATTTAGGAACATTAAAAGTTTCAGTCAAAATGTACACTTTGAAACATTAGAATGAACCGTTGAGTCCTTTGTAAATATCTTGACTATAGTCAAAACTCATTGCAAGACTCCAGTTTCAGATTAATTCATTTTGAGTTTCTGAATTAATTCTTTAATAAAAAATAGACCTAATCAGACCTACACTGAAGATATCTTAATCTTTAAATAAAGCTACGGTACCTGGTATTCACATTTAAAATGTTTATTACAAATTATCAAAATTAAATTGTAGATTTCTCTAATTATATATTCCGTACAATACAGGGTTCATCCTTACAAGTCAAATGTAATTAAATAAACAAATTAAGCCTCTGACTGGTCATTTAAAATGTAAAAGGGCTTGCCATGTTTTACTAATGTAAGACAGAAATCTTTCAGCATGTTTAAAAAAGGAACAAGAACTTTTTCATTTCATGTCTACCAGCAGTGATCTCTCGATCTGAACCACAGTCATGCAGAGCGTGCTGTGCGCTCGACTTCCCATATTAGACTGTAACCTCAAGTTTCATTTGCAGGCTGAGTTAAACTTGACCTCAGACTGTTACTGAAAATATCTGCAGCGTCTTCTTTAAATAACTGCTTTACGCTTTTTTCTTTGTCTCTCAGACTGATCACCTTTCATCAATTTAACTATTTAACATTTCGTTCACCTTTTTCTTTTGTTGTATCAGTGTTTGCAGGTGGTGTTGATGGTGCTGTTGCTGCTGCTGGACGAGGCTCTGTTGGTGTTGATGTTTGTCTTGTTGTAGTTGCTGGTGTTGATGTTGTTGTTGTTGGTCTTGTTGTTGAGGTTGGTTTGGGTGGTGCCTTGTTACCTTCAGTGTGACAAACAGAATGCTGCATAAATCAGGACACAAATGTAATGCATAGAGAAAATATATATTACAGGGCAAAACATGTTTCTCATGAGACAGAATGTCTCACAATAATTCACTATTTTTGTGGTGAGTCGTGAAGCAACAGAGTTCTCATCATGATTCACGTTACTTCCTATTCTGTAGAAACACGTATTTCAAATCAGCATTAAACCTGCTCTCTAGTCTGTATTTTATGAAAATATTTCCAGTACTGTTCTGCAGTTCAAGTTCAAATTGTTAAAAACAATGACCAAAGTGCTTTCCAAATTCAGGAGAAAACAGTTGTGCCTCTGAGCTGTTTTTCTTTTATTTAGCCAATTAAAATGTGTCATATTGTTCCTCAGATCTCTCACCTTTGGTCACAGTCAGATACGCAGCTGGTTTTCCATCACAGTAGTAAAGTCCAGAGTCTTTAGGCCGCAGGTCTGTTATAGTCAGCGTCTTGTCAACTGGTGAAACATTAAAACGTCCTTTTTGCCGTATTACACTGGAGTTTCTGCTCCATGTTGGAACAGCTGATCCTCCAACATCAGGAGGGCATTTCAGAGTGACGTTGGTCCTCTCTGCAGCCGTGAGTCTGACTGTCCCTGAACACAACAAAGAAAACAACATAATGCTCCATCATGAAGTCTCAGTACTTAAACAGTCTCATGATGTAATGTCCTGTGTGAGACCAGTGCACAAGAATAAACATTCATACTCAAAACAACTACTTGTAGCTTTCAAAATGCTTCAGTACAACATTTTAACAACTTCTAAACAAATTAAACTTAAATTAAAATTAAGTTTTTTGTAAGTCTCAGTTTGAACATAGATGTGATCACAGAGCAAGGATACTGTTTTCTGGCAGTTTTCTAGATAAATATTCTGATCTGATATTTAGTTTCATATTTAGTGAAATATTTTAAAATCATATATAAAATAAGATTACTGACTTAAACAAATACACAGTAAAGTACAACAAGTAACAGGAAGTAAATTTGAAATAAATCCACTCTGTTTCTGCCAATCTGCTGTGGCATTTCATTAAAATGCTACTTTGAGCAAAGTGTTCAAGAAATAAGGAATGATTATATGATATATTGCAAAATAGTGTAATTAAAACTAAAACCCACTTTTCCTTAATGTGCCGATGAATTTCAGTTTTTTCAAAGTTGAAGAAAAATGAAACATTTATCAGAGACATGGTTTTATAACAGGAAGAGAAAACAGGAAGTAGAACAACGTTATTAAAGTCTGATGTTACCTGGTGGGAGCACCGTCAGATCCACAGCTGGTTCATTATTACAGAAGTATCTTCCAGCGTCTGATACAGCAGCTCTGAGAATGTGAAGTGACTTATCTACCCATGAACTGTATCGTCTGCCTGGGTCATTGTGTCTTATCTCTCTGTCACCATCAACTGTAAATATGTCAACTTTGTTTCCATTAATCTCTCTGCTCCACGTCACTTTACCCTCCACAGGGTGAGGACATCGCAGAATGACCGAGCTCTTCTCCTCGACTACTTCATGATTTATTGCTGCAAAAGAAACAGATTTTTTTTATGAATCAAAAGTTCACATTTTACTGTCAAATGCAGCGATTGCACATCAAATACAACCTCATTATAGTTTTATTATAACCATTAAAAAGACTTTTAACAATGTTTAACAAATTAGTTACCAATTAATTCTGTCGACTGATCAATCAGTTAACCAAAACTTTCAGCCGTACTTGGATAAAGTGTTAAAGTGTAGTTTAATCTATAAACATATTTTATAAACTCTCTATACCTATCAAAAGTTTTGTAAAGTACCTCAAATTCATACTTAAATACAGTACTTGAGTAAATGTACTGGCCACTGCCAATAACAAATATATTTTAACAGGTGAGTAACTGATGAATTTAAAAAAGTTCTTACCTGCAGTGACTTTACAGCTCAGAGCAAACGCTAACAGGCAGCTGCAGATAATCGCGCTCATCTTCACGCAGACTGAAGTGACTGACAGAATAATGTCTGACCTCAGCTTATCGAGGCTGAACAGGAACTGAGTGATCATCTACGTTTGTCTCCACATCCTCAACAGTGTCTGTTTGTGGTCGATGAATAATGATGTTTCCTTTAGTGTGAACATGAGCTCACACATCTTTCACCAACTACAAATAGCGTGTTGGTGCTGGAGAGTATTATGTGTTTAGTAGTATGATTTTTCCACGTACAGTAAAAGATTAGCATGTCACAGGGCAGTTCGCTGCATGACGTCCAGCTGCATCTTCTATGAATTAGACTTGTAAGCAGATATTTTCTGTGGCAACTAAAGTTTAAGGTTTGAAAAAGGCGGTGGTCATAAAAAGAGTTAACATTAACTTTATTAACATTAAGATCTTTGTATCAGCAGCGCAGCAGCTTGATCCTGACTGCTGGTTAAAGGTCCAGTGTGTAGTATTTTCAAATGTATATATTTCTCTATCTCCTATAAACATGTAGTTTAAAATAGTCTTTCCCTGTGATAAAGTTGTGTTTTGTACTTCTTTCAAGAGCGTGCGGCTCCCTTGTGTGTTTTTTACCTGAGGATCGTTTACACCGCCATGTAGGCTATTCTATAGCAAAAGTGATCATTAAACATTTTTCTGTTGGGTAAAAATCTACTTTGAATTTTGGAATTGATAATAAATACTTTTTTTTTGGACTTTTAAACTTATGTGTGTGTTCTGGTCTAGATGCCCAATGGGAGTCTGAAAAAACAAGCAGAACAGTAGCCTAAGGACCCTGTTATAGGCCTACATAATAACAATAATAATAATAATAATAATAATAATAAAAATAAGAATACAGCCTAATAAACTAACATTATGCTGCAATTAAATTAAGAATATATGGTAAGGTAGGGACTTGGTTGTATCTAGTGAAAACATTGCTTCCTTGTCACCCCAGGATGAAAACAAATGTGTGAAGTGGCATAACTGCCTCTTCAGTCACTTCCTGGCGCTGGGCCTGCTGTGCTCACACGGTTCCTCCTTGCTCACCTCACGCTACCTCCGCTAAACGCCAGCCGAACCACGCCATCTTAGCCTGCCTGCCTCCTGTTGACCTCAGCCTTGCCAGCAACCTCACCAACAGATCATTTATTAAGAAAGAGTGTTGCTTTTAATACAATATATTGTGTTCTGGATCCACTTCTGCATCTACCTACAACATAATGTAACATCAAATGGCTTTCCAGTCGAGGCAGACGGGTTAGATTGATCGTGTCGAACGCTGTACTGAGATCGAGCAGGAGTAAAATGACACAGGAACCAGTTTACAGAGCGAAGGATGTAGTTACGTACCTTAAGCAGAGCTGATTCTGTTCTCCAACCAGACTGGAATTTGGAGGCTGTTGAACAAGTTCAAATAGGAAGAGACCAAGTCGTCTTTTCCTGGAAATAAATGGTCAAGATGGGCCTGTAGTTGTTATGGCCAGTGGGGTTGAGGCTGGCTTTCTTTAGTTGTGCAATTGCATGTTTAAAAGTGGAAGAGACAAATCCGTGTGTTTGAGAGCTAAAATTATAGCCAAAACAAAGAGGCGGACTGTGGTAAAAAAAAAAAATAGCTTGACAGTAATGTCTTCGGGACAACAGGTGGGATTCATGTGTGAGACCAGTTCTGACAGCTTGGTGGACGACACTGGTTCAAACTGCTGGAGGTGTCTCTGTGGGATCAGGGGGTGAGATGTTAGATCTTATGTTGTCAAACCACCTTGTTTTAAAACAGTAACCCTTTAAAAGGTTGGCTATATAATATGCTACAGCTAAAGACAAAGCTACAGTATCCTGAAAATCTGGGAGGAAAATGTGAACAGTAAGTGCATTTTTCTTGTACTACAGAGAAGAGCAAGTTGTGTTAAGTTGTCTGTCGGGATCATTGTGTCTTAAGTCTCCGTCACCATCAGCTGTAAGTATGTTGACTTTGTTTCCATTAATCTCTCTGCTCCACGTCACTTTACCCTCCACAGGGTGAGGACATCGCAGAGTGACCTGGTGACACTGCAGAATGGCCGGGTTCTCATGCTCCTCGTGATTTATAGCTGCAAAAGAAACACTTTACATTTAAGTAAAAAGTTCACATTTAACTGTCAAATGCAGTTATTGCACGTTGAATACAGCTTTACTTGGTGATTTTACATTATAAGTCACACTAATGAGAACGTACCAAAGATTGCATGTTCTTCATGAATTATTTCAGTTCTGTTGAGTTTGACTCAAGCCAATCATACTTTAGTAAAAGTACTAATACAATACTGGAAAAATACTCTGATAAAACACTCTGCATTGAGAAGTATGTAAGTATAATCAAACAAAATACACATCTTCAACACACCTCAGTGGGGTTTTTTGTTTTTTTTTTGGTCGATAAAAACTGATGTTTCCTTTAGTGTGAACGTGAGTGTGTTGGTCCTGGAAAGTTTGAGATGTTTAGTAGTAGAACAAAGAGTTTTTGTGGCTTTACAGCTTAATTGTGTATTTGTAAAAATGCTTTCTACATCTGTCAAGCGTTCAGTTCTTATATGCGGTTTAAGATAATGTGACCACCTCAGACAGCTGCGAGGACGACACTGTTTGAAACTGCTGGAGGTGACTGGATGATTTAGCTCTGTGGGATCAGTGACTGGTGGTGACAAGTGACATCTAAAATCAACGTCTTTTAAAATTAAATATGAATTTTCTTGGCTACATTACTAACATGCTATAGCTAAAGAAAATATTTTTCTTTTTCTGTGAGGAAGATGTGAACATCAAGCGCATTGTTCTTGTACTACAGGGTCGAGCTAGTTAGTCCTATGTTTTAAGATGAGGTAAAGAGAACATCAGACTGTTATCTTGTTCTAACTCACTGTAGAAAAACATACTTGGACAAACACAGAGGTCACATTTATGTTTTATTACATGTTCACAAATGTTTCACTTTTACAAAAGTTAAGGATCTCAGCAGCAGAGTCTTCAGTCCTGAACAGGGATGTTTGTAACATAACCACACAAAATATTGTAATTACCTAATTGTGTTCACACTGTGGTTGAAAATTGGAAATGCTAACATTAGCAGCTAAGCAGTACACTCAGGGATGTGCTGGGACTGAAATTCAGCCCTGGACTTTAAGACGGAGAGGCCTTTTATGCGAGCGCCCTTTAGGCTCTTATTTTTATTTTTTTGCAGTTATATTAACACTAACAATGTTTTTGTGGTAAAAAGAGAATCAGATTATGCTGAAGACCTTCAAGAAAATTGAAATTGACACCTGCCTCCTACGTTAGTATGAGCAAGTCACCCCTGCACTGAACAAGACCGGGTCAAGCTAGCCTGAGCAGGAACACTTAAGCTCTGAATAGGCCTCTCCCTGGCTCAGCTTCCCCCGCTGGACCCTGCCTCTGATTGTACAGCTACATATGCACGAGAATATAAAAATATACAATATACTTGCCTATACATAAATGCTTAATGCATACTAATCGTGCACATGTCCCTGCTGCTGCTGGGTCCTGCCACTGCAACCTTTCCACCACAGAAAATGTGCATTTAGCTGCTTCTTGTGCCAACATTTCTATCTTCTACATTCCTCTTGTTTCGGCAAACACTCATTTCTCTTTCCTCCTACTTTATTCCCCCCTCATATTTACATCTCCGCCCCTCCATTTACACGTCCGCCCCAGAGTACACAGTACAAAGGAAGTGTAAAAGCCTCAGATAAACAAAGCTATTTTAAAAGGTGACAAACTAGTATGACTCCTGCACGTCTATGAAGTACTGTTTAATAGTACTGGGTTGAACGCTGAAAGACTGTTGCGCTGAATGAGGATGGACGCTGAAGACGGTTCAGTTGTTACCCCTCTCGTTTCTGTGTGATGGAGGATCACAGATCATTTTCTGTTTCTGTCGAGCTGCAAGGGAGAGAAGATAAACACGGAGATGATGGACAATATTTTTATTTAACTTCTGTTCTAACTTTTCCCTGTAAACATTTGTAAGAACATGTTTATGGTAATTATTTGGAACGTGGTTATCCATGACCTGCAACTCTGTTTGTTAGCAGAATGTCTCAAAAACAACCTTTCAGTTACACCTGGAAGAAGGTTGAGCCATGGGACAAGCCATTAGTTTGAGTTAGTAGCAGTAACAGAGCCACCATGTGGCCGTCCATAGATCACTTTATATTACAGTTCAGACAAATCTGTCAGTATAAACCACAAACACATGCACCCAGACAGGGTTTCTGCCATCTCCCCTCCTTTACCCTGATGTTTTACCTTCAGCTTCTCCAACACTGAAACGTATAATACTAAGATGAGCCTGGAAAAATGTAAGATGTTTTTATTTGAAAACCACTTGCAGTTCAAACTATATTCACCTTTTTCTCCAGGTAGTGACAGTGATGCTGATCATGATGATTAAACAGAGTATCCCAATCCCCATACGAACAGACGGCCACAGGTAAGGAGCCGCTGGAAGAAAAGGAAGCATTCATAATCAGACCTCATGAGTAACGAACATAGAAACACAATAAATATACAGACATGGTTCTTAAAATAGCTGAAGGCCATATGAATAATAAAGGTAGCTGAAAACGTCAATATTGGATTTAACAATGACGGAACTAGAAATTCAAATTTTGTATCCTCACAAAAATCTAAACACTCGTTTGCGCCATTAAAATTTCCTTTAGTAAAACTATATTTTGGCATGTTTGTGTTCAAATGTGTCCTGAAACAAAGACACCTTCTCCAAACATCATTAATGCTCCCACACTTCTTTGAAACACTGTTGTTACAGCAATGCAACTTTTTAGCTGCAGATTTATTTTTCCAAAACTATGCAGGTGGTTCAACAACAGCTGTGGTCAGATTCTACTTTAAATGTTGTTTGATTTCTTATTTAATTCTGTATATTCCTGACCAAGCCCACTAGGTAGGGGGCCCCAGGGCCAGCGCCAACTACAGAGACAAAACTACCAAAAGAGACAGAAAATGACTTCAGTCCGGGAGTCTCGCTCCTATGTTGGAGGATTTGGGGTCCTCTTAGACATCTGTGTCCAGGAGCCTGTTGTCCTCAGGACGCTGTAATACATCCATGACTTAAGGTTTCATTTTAGGCTTTCAGACGTATGTAAATGCTCTGTATTTGTATAGCACCTTTCTAGTCTTTCCGACCGCTTTTACATCGCATTCACCTTTCACACACCTTCATGCACTGGTGGAACAGTCACCAGGGACCCAAGGTCACTTCGACATGTAGCCTGGAGGGATTGAACCGCTGATCTTCCAGTTAACGTGCAACCCGCTCCACCTCCTGAGCCACAGCCGCCCTCTTCATCCTTTGTATGTATTTATATCTCTCTTTATGAATGAATATCTGCTTTAATCTTGTTCTTTGTTTGTCTTTGAGTTCTTGATCACATTTAATCGATTATCATTTAGATTTTTTGAATCTTTCTGCTGCTCTTCTTCTTTCTGGGTTTCTTGTTGTGACTTTGTTTCGTTACTGTAGTCTTACCTGTATTTGCCTCTGATGTTAATGTTGTACTGTAGGTGTGCTGTTCAGTTGTTTTCTTACCTTCTGTTTGGGACAGAGGGAATACAAAGTAAAGTATGGCAAGCCCTTTTTAAGATTGGCAGGATTCCCATTAAATATATTCACAATACATTTAGGAACATTAAAAGTTTCAGTCAAAATGTACACTTTGAAACATTAGAATGAACCGTTGAGTCCTTTGTAAATATCTTGACTATAGTCAAAACTCATTGCAAGACTCCAGTTTCAGATTAATTCATTTTGAGTTTCTGAATTAATTCTTTAATAAAAAATAGACCTAATCAGACCTACACTGAAGATATCTTAATCTTTAAATAAAGCTACGGTACCTGGTATTCACATTTAAAATGTTTATTACAAATTATCAAAATTAAATTGTAGATTTCTCTAATTATATATTCCGTACAATACAGGGTTCATCCTTACAAGTCAAATGTAATTAAATAAACAAATTAAGCCTCTGACTGGTCATTTAAAATGTAAAAGGGCTTGCCATGTTTTACTAATGTAAGACAGAAATCTTTCAGCATGTTTAAAAAAGGAACAAGAACTTTTTCATTTCATGTCTACCAGCAGTGATCTCTCGATCTGAACCACAGTCATGCAGAGCGTGCTGTGCGCTCGACTTCCCATATTAGACTGTAACCTCAAGTTTCATTTGCACGCTGAGTTAAACTTGACCTCAGACTGTTACTGAAAATATCTGCAGCGTCTTCTTTAAATAACTGCTTTACGCTTTTTTCTTTGTCTCTCAGACTGATCACCTTTCATCAATTTAACTATTTAACATTTCGTTCACCTTTTTCTTTTGTTGTATCAGTGTTTGCAGGTGGTGTTGATGGTGCTGTTGCTGCTGCTGGACGAGGCTCTGTTGGTGTTGATGTTTGTCTTGTTGTAGTTGCTGGTGTTGATGTTGTTGTTGTTGGTCTTGTTGTTGAGGTTGGTTTGGGTGGTGCCTTGTTACCTTCAGTGTGACAAACAGAATGCTGCATAAATCAGGACACAAATGTAATGCATAGAGAAAATATATATTACAGGGCAAAACATGTTTCTCATGAGACAGAATGTCTCACAATAATTCACTATTTTTGTGGTGAGTCGTGAAGCAACAGAGTTCTCATCATGATTCACGTTACTTCCTATTCTGTAGAAACACGTATTTCAAATCAGCATTAAACCTGCTCTCTAGTCTGTATTTTATGAAAATATTTCCAGTACTGTTCTGCAGTTCAAGTTCAAATTGTTAAAAACAATGACCAAAGTGCTTTCCAAATTCAGGAGAAAACAGTTGTGCCTCTGAGCTGTTTGTCTTTTATTTAGCCAATTAAAATGTGTCATATTGTTCCTCAGATCTCTCACCTTTGGTCACAGTCAGATACGCAGCTGGTTTTCCATCACAGTAGTAAAGTCCAGAGTCTTTAGGCCGCAGGTCTGTTATAGTCAGCGTCTTGTCAACTGGTGAAACATTAAAACGTCCTTTTTGCCGTATTACACTGGAGTTTCTGCTCCATGTTGGAACAGCTGATCCTCCAACATCAGGAGGGCATTTCAGAGTGACGTTGGTCCTCTCTGCAGCCGTGAGTCTGACTGTCCCTGAACACAACAAAGAAAACAACATAATGCTCCATCATGAAGTCTCAGTACTTAAACAGTCTCATGATGTAATGTCCTGTGTGAGACCAGTGCACAAGAATAAACATTCATACTCAAAACAACTACTTGTAGCTTTCAAAATGCTTCAGTACAACATTTTAACAACTTCTAAACAAATTAAACTTAAATTAAAATTAAGTTTTTTGTAAGTCTCAGTTTGAACATAGATGTGATCACAGAGCAAGGATACTGTTTTCTGGCAGTTTTCTAGATAAATATTCTGATCTGATATTTAGTTTCATATTTAGTGAAATATTTTAAAATCATATATAAAATAAGATTACTGACTTAAACAAATACACAGTAAAGTACAACAAGTAACAGGAAGTAAATTTGAAATAAATCCACTCTGTTTCTGCCAATCTGCTGTGGCATTTCATTAAAATGCTACTTTGAGCAAAGTGTTCAAGAAATAAGGAATGATTATATGATATATTGCAAAATAGTGTAATTAAAACTAAAACCCACTTTTCCTTAATGTGCCGATGAATTTCAGTTTTTTCAAAGTTGAAGAAAAATGAAACATTTATCAGAGACATGGTTTTATAACAGGAAGAGAAAACAGGAAGTAGAACAACGTTATTAAAGTCTGATGTTACCTGGTGGGAGCACCGTCAGATCCACAGCTGGTTCATTATTACAGAAGTATCTTCCAGCGTCTGATACAGCAGCTCTGAGAATGTGAAGTGACTTATCTACCCATGAACTGTATCGTCTGCCTGGGTCATTGTGTCTTATCTCTCTGTCACCATCAACTGTAAATATGTCAACTTTGTTTCCATTAATCTCTCTGCTCCACGTCACTTTACCCTCCACAGGGTGAGGACATCGCAGAATGACCGAGCTCTTCTCCTCGACTACTTCATGATTTATTGCTGCAAAAGAAACAGATTTTTTTTATGAATCAAAAGTTCACATTTTACTGTCAAATGCAGCGATTGCACATCAAATACAACCTCATTATAGTTTTATTATAACCATTAAAAAGACTTTTAACAATGTTTAACAAATTAGTTACCAATTAATTCTGTCGACTGATCAATCAGTTAACCAAAACTTTCAGCCGTACTTGGATAAAGTGTTAAAGTGTAGTTTAATCTATAAACATATTTTATAAACTCTCTATACCTATCAAAAGTTTTGTAAAGTACCTCAAATTCATACTTAAATACAGTACTTGAGTAAATGTACTGGCCACTGCCAATAACAAATATATTTTAACAGGTGAGTAACTGATGAATTTAAAAAAGTTCTTACCTGCAGTGACTTTACAGCTCAGAGCAAACGCTAACAGGCAGCTGCAGATAATCGCGCTCATCTTCACGCAGACTGAAGTGACTGACAGAATAATGTCTGACCTCAGCTTATCGAGGCTGAACAGGAACTGAGTGATCATCTACGTTTGTCTCCACATCCTCAACAGTGTCTGTTTGTGGTCGATGAATAATGATGTTTCCTTTAGTGTGAACATGAGCTCACACATCTTTCACCAACTACAAATAGCGTGTTGGTGCTGGAGAGTATTATGTGTTTAGTAGTATGATTTTTCCACGTACAGTAAAAGATTAGCATGTCACAGGGCAGTTCGCTGCATGACGTCCAGCTGCATCTTCTATGAATTAGACTTGTAAGCAGATATTTTCTGTGGCAACTAAAGTTTAAGGTTTGAAAAAGGCGGTGGTCATAAGAAGAGTTAACATTAATTTGTATTAACATTAAGATCTTTGTATCAGCAGCGCAGCAGCTTGATCCTGACTGCTGGTTAAAGGTCCAGTGTGTAGTATTTTCAAATGTATATATTTCTCTATCTCCTATAAACATGTAGTTTAAAATAGTCTTTCCCTGTGATAAAGTTGTGTTTTGTACTTCTTTCAAGAGCGTGCGGCTCCCTTGTGTGTTTTTTACCTGAGGATCGTTTACACCGCCATGTAGGCTATTCTATAGCAAAAGTGATCATTAAACATTTTTCTGTTGGGTAAAAATCTACTTTGAATTTTGGAATTGATAATAAATACTTTTTTTTTGGACTTTTAAACTTATGTGTGTGTTCTGGTCTAGATGCCCAATGGGAGTCTGAAAAAACAAGCAGAACAGTAGCCTAAGGACCCTGTTATAGGCCTACATAATAACAATAATAATAATAATAATAATAATAATAAAAATAAGAATACAGCCTAATAAACTAACATTATGCTGCAATTAAATTAAGAATATATGGTAAGGTAGGGACTTGGTTGTATCTAGTGAAAACATTGCTTCCTTGTCACCCCAGGATGAAAACAAATGTGTGAAGTGGCATAACTGCCTCTTCAGTCACTTCCTGGCGCTGGGCCTGCTGTGCTCACACGGTTCCTCCTTGCTCACCTCACGCTACCTCCGCTAAACGCCAGCCGAACCACGCCATCTTAGCCTGCCTGCCTCCTGTTGACCTCAGCCTTGCCAGCAACCTCACCAACAGATCATTTATTAAGAAAGAGTGTTGCTTTTAATACAATATATTGTGTTCTGGATCCACTTCTGCATCTACCTACAACATAATGTAACATCAAATGGCTTTCCAGTCGAGGCAGACGGGTTAGATTGATCGTGTCGAACGCTGTACTGAGATCGAGCAGGAGTAAAATGACACAGGAACCAGTTTACAGAGCGAAGGATGTAGTTACGTACCTTAAGCAGAGCTGATTCTGTTCTCCAACCAGACTGGAATTTGGAGGCTGTTGAACAAGTTCAAATAGGAAGAGACCAAGTCGTCTTTTCCTGGAAATAAATGGTCAAGATGGGCCTGTAGTTGTTATGGCCAGTGGGGTTGAGGCTGGCTTTCTTTAGTTGTGCAATTGCATGTTTAAAAGTGGAAGAGACAAATCCGTGTGTTTGAGAGCTAAAATTATAGCCAAAACAAAGAGGCGGACTGTGGTAAAAAAAAAAAAATAGCTTGACAGTAATGTCTTCGGGACAACAGGTGGGATTCATGTGTGAGACCAGTTCTGACAGCTTGGTGGACGACACTGGTTCAAACTGCTGGAGGTGTCTCTGTGGGATCAGGGGGTGAGATGTTAGATCTTATGTTGTCAAACCACCTTGTTTTAAAACAGTAACCCTTTAAAAGGTTGGCTATATAATATGCTACAGCTAAAGACAAAGCTACAGTATCCTGAAAATCTGGGAGGAAAATGTGAACAGTAAGTGCATTTTTCTTGTACTACAGAGAAGAGCAAGTTGTGTTAAGTTGTCTGTCGGGATCATTGTGTCTTAAGTCTCCGTCACCATCAGCTGTAAGTATGTTGACTTTGTTTCCATTAATCTCTCTGCTCCACGTCACTTTACCCTCCACAGGGTGAGGACATCGCAGAGTGACCTGGTGACACTGCAGAATGGCCGGGTTCTCATGCTCCTCGTGATTTATAGCTGCAAAAGAAACACTTTACATTTAAGTAAAAAGTTCACATTTAACTGTCAAATGCAGTTATTGCACGTTGAATACAGCTTTACTTGGTGATTTTACATTATAAGTCACACTAATGAGAACGTACCAAAGATTGCATGTTCTTCATGAATTATTTCAGTTCTGTTGAGTTTGACTCAAGCCAATCATACTTTAGTAAAAGTACTAATACAATACTGGAAAAATACTCTGATAAAACACTCTGCATTGAGAAGTATGTAAGTATAATCAAACAAAATACACATCTTCAACACACCTCAGTGGGGTTTTTTTTTTTTTTTTTGGTCGATAAAAACTGATGTTTCCTTTAGTGTGAACGTGAGTGTGTTGGTCCTGGAAAGTTTGAGATGTTTAGTAGTAGAACAAAGAGTTTTTGTGGCTTTACAGCTTAATTGTGTATTTGTAAAAATGCTTTCTACATCTGTCAAGCGTTCAGTTCTTATATGCGGTTTAAGATAATGTGACCACCTCAGACAGCTGCGAGGACGACACTGTTTGAAACTGCTGGAGGTGACTGGATGATTTAGCTCTGTGGGATCAGTGACTGGTGGTGACAAGTGACATCTAAAATCAACGTCTTTTAAAATTAAATATGAATTTTCTTGGCTACATTACTAACATGCTATAGCTAAAGAAAATATTTTTCTTTTTCTGTGAGGAAGATGTGAACATCAAGCGCATTGTTCTTGTACTACAGGGTCGAGCTAGTTAGTCCTATGTTTTAAGATGAGGTAAAGAGAACATCAGACTGTTATCTTGTTCTAACTCACTGTAGAAAAACATACTTGGACAAACACAGAGGTCACATTTATGTTTTATTACATGTTCACAAATGTTTCACTTTTACAAAAGTTAAGGATCTCAGCAGCAGAGTCTTCAGTCCTGAACAGGGATGTTTGTAACATAACCACACAAAATATTGTAATTACCTAATTGTGTTCACACTGTGGTTGAAAATTGGAAATGCTAACATTAGCAGCTAAGCAGTACACTCAGGGATGTGCTGGGACTGAAATTCAGCCCTGGACTTTAAGACGGAGAGGCCTTTTATGCGAGCGCCCTTTAGGCTCTTATTTTTATTTTTTTGCAGTTATATTAACACTAACAATGTTTTTGTGGTAAAAAGAGAATCAGATTATGCTGAAGACCTTCAAGAAAATTGAAATTGACACCTGCCTCCTACGTTAGTATGAGCAAGTCACCCCTGCACTGAACAAGACCGGGTCAAGCTAGCCTGAGCAGGAACACTTAAGCTCTGAATAGGCCTCTCCCTGGCTCAGCTTCCCCCGCTGGACCCTGCCTCTGATTGTACAGCTACATATGCACGAGAATATAAAAATATACAATATACTTGCCTATACATAAATGCTTAATGCATACTAATCGTGCACATGTCCCTGCTGCTGCTGGGTCCTGCCACTGCAACCTTTCCACCACAGAAAATGTGCATTTAGCTGCTTCTTGTGCCAACATTTCTATCTTCTACATTCCTCTTGTTTCGGCAAACACTCATTTCTCTTTCCTCCTACTTTATTCCCCCCTCATATTTACATCTCCGCCCCTCCATTTACACGTCCGCCCCAGAGTACACAGTACAAAGGAAGTGTAAAAGCCTCAGATAAACAAAGCTATTTTAAAAGGTGACAAACTAGTATGACTCCTGCACGTCTATGAAGTACTGTTTAATAGTACTGGGTTGAACGCTGAAAGACTGTTGCGCTGAATGAGGATGGACGCTGAAGACGGTTCAGTTGTTACCCCTCTCGTTTCTGTGTGATGGAGGATCACAGATCATTTTCTGTTTCTGTCGAGCTGCAAGAGAGAAGATAAACACGGAGATGATGGACAATATTTTTATTTAACTTCTGTTCTAACTTTTCCCTGTAAACATTTGTAAGAACATGTTTATGGTAATTATTTGGAACGTGGTTATCCATGACCTGCAACTCTGTTTGTTAGCAGAATGTCTCAAAAACAACCTTTCAGTTACACCTGGAAGAAGGTTGAGCCATGGGACAAGCCATTAGTTTGAGTTAGTAGCAGTAACAGAGCCACCATGTGGCCGTCCATAGATCACTTTATATTACAGTTCAGACAAATCTGTCAGTATAAACCACAAACACATGCACCCAGACAGGGTTTCTGCCATCTCCCCTCCTTTACCCTGATGTTTTACCTTCAGCTTCTCCAACACTGAAACATATGATACTAAGATGAGCCTGGAAAAATGTAAGATGTTTTTATTTGAAAACCACTTGCAGTTCAAACTATATTCACCTTTTCTCCAGGTAGTGACAGTGATGCTGGTCATGATGATTAAACAGAGTATCCCAATCCCCATACGAACAGACGGCCACAGGTAAGGAGCCGCTGGAAGAAAAGGAAGCATTCATAATCAGACCTCATGAGTAACGAACATAGAAACACAATAAATATACAGACATGGTTCTTAAAATAGCTGAAGGCCATATGAATAATAAAGGTAGCTGAAAACGTCAATATTGGATTTAACAATGAAGGAACTAGAAATTCAAATTTTGCATCCTCACAAAAATCTAAACACTCGTTTGCGCCATTAAAATTTCCTTTAGTAAAACTAGATTTTGGCATGTTTGTGTTCAAATGTGTCCTGAAACAAAGACACCTTCTCCAAACATCATTAATGCTCCCACACTTCTTTGAAACACTGTTGTTACAGCAATGCAACTTTTTAGCTGCAGATTTATTTTTCCAAAACTATGCAGGTGGTTCAACAACAGCTGTGGTCAGATTCTACTTTAAATGTTGTTTGATTTCTTATTTCATTCTGTATATTCCTGACCAAGCCCACTAGGTAGGGGGCCCCAGGGCCAGCGCCAACTACAGAGACAAAACTACCACAAAGAGACAGATGTCTAAGAGGACCCCAAACCCTCCAACATAGGAGCGAGACTCCCGGACTGAAGTCATTTTCTGTGTCCAGGAGCCTGTTGTCCTCAGGACGCTGTAATACATCCATGACTTAAGGTTTCATTTTAGGCTTTCAGACGTATGTAAATGCTCTGTATTTGTATAGCACCTTTCTAGTCTTTCCGACCGCTTTTACATCGCATTCACCTTTCACACACCTTCATGCACTGGTGGAACAGTCACCAGGGACCCAAGGTCACTTCGACATGTAGCCTGGAGGGATTGAACCGCTGATTTCCAGTTAACGTGCAACCCGCTCCACCTCCTGGGCCACAGCCGCCCTCTTCATCCTTTGTATGTATTTATATCTCTCTTTATGAATGAATATCTGCTTTAATCTTGTTCTTTGTTTGTCTTTGATCACATTTAATCGATTATCATTTAGATTTTTTGAATCTTTCTGCTGCTCTTCTTCTTTCTGGGTTTCTTGTTGTGACTTTGTTTCGTTACTGTAGTCTTACCTGTATTTGCCTCTGATGTTAATGATGTACTGTTAAGTTGTTTTCTTACCTTCTGTTTGGGACAGAGGGAATACAAAGTAAAGTATGGCAAGCCCTTTTTAAGATTGGCAGGATTCCCATTAAATATATTCACAATACATTTAGGACCATTAAAAGTTTGAGTCAAAATGTCTCCTATTACACTTTGAAACATTAGAATGAACCGTTGAGTCCTTTGTAAATATCTTGACTATAGTCAAAACTTATTGCAAGACTCCAGTTTCAGATGAATTCATTTTGAGTTTCTGAATTAATTCTTTAATAAAAAATAGACCTAATCAGACCTACAATGAAGATATCTTAATCTTTAAATAAAGCTACGGTACCTGGTATTCACATTTAAAATGTTTATTACAAATTATCAAAATTAAATTGTAGATTTCTCTAATTATATATTCCGTACAATACAGGGTTCATCCTTACAAGTCAAATGTAATTAAATAAACAAATTAAGTCTCTGACTGGTCATGAATACATTGTGGATGTGTTTAATGTAAATTTTTAAAATGTAAAAGGGCTTGCCATGTTTTACTAATGTAAGACAGAAATCTTTCAGCATGTTTAAAAAAGGAACAAGAACTTTTTCATTTCATGTCTACCAGCAGTGATCTCTCAATTTGAACCACAGTCATGCAGAGTGAGCTGTGCGCTCAACTTCCCATATTAGACTTTAACCTCAAGTTTCATTTGCACGCTGAGTTAAACCTGACCTCAGACTGTTACTGAAAATATCTGCAGCGTCTTCTTTAAATAACTGCTTTACGCTCACTTTAACATTTAAAGTGTTTTCTTGTCTCTCAGACTGATCACATTTCATCAATTTAACTATTTAACATTTCGTTCTGTTTCATCTTACTCTCGTCCTCTCCGGGTTTCTTGTTGGAACCTTTTTCTTTTGTTGTATCAGTGTTTGCAGGTGGTGTTGATGGTGCTGTTGCTGCTGCTGGACGAGGCTCTGTTGGTGTTGCTGTTGTTTGTCTTGTTGTAGTTGCTGGTGTTGATGTTGTTTGTCTTGTTGTAGTTGCTGGTGTTGATGTTGTTGGTCTTGTTGTTGTTGCTGGTGTTGTTGTTGGTCTTGTTGTTGTTGGTCTTGTTGTTGGTGTTGATGTTGGTTTGGGTGGTGCCTTGTTACCTTCAGTGTGAGATAGAGGACAAACAGAATGCTGCATAAATCAGGACACAAAAATGTAATGCATAGAGAAAATATATATTACAGGACAAAACATGTTTCTCATGAGACAGAATGTCTCACAATAATTCACTATTTTTGTGGTGAGTCGTGAAGCAACAGAGTTCTCATCATGATTCACGTTACTTCCTATTCTGTAGAAACACGTATTTCAAATCAGCATTAAACCTGCTCTCTAGTCTGTATTTTATGAAAATATTTCCAGTACTGTTCTGCAGTTCAAGTTCAAATTGTTAAAAACAATGACCAAAGTGCTTTCCAAATTCAGGAGAAAACAGTTGTGCCTCTGAGCTGTTTTTCTTTTATTTAGCCAATTAAAATGTGTCATGTTGTTCCTCAGATCTCTCACCTTTGATCAAAGTCAGATATGCAGCTGGTTTTCCATCACAGTAGTAAAGTCCAGAGTCTTTAGGCCGCAGGTCTGTTATAGTCAGCGTCTTGTCAACTGGTGAAACATTAAAACGTCTTTTTGCTGTATTACACTGGAGTTTCTGCTCCATGTTGGAACAGCTGATCCTCCAACATCAGGAGGGCATTTCAGAGTGACCCTGGTCCCCTCTGCAGCCGTGAGTCTGACTGTCCCTGAACACAACAAAGAAAACAACATAATGCTCCATCATGAAGTCTCAGTACTTAAACAGTCTCATGATGTAATGTCCTGTGTGAGACCTGTGCACAAGAATAAACATTCATACTCAAAACAACTACTTGTAGCTTTCAAAATGCTTCAGTACAACATTTTAACAACTTCTACACAAATTAAACTTAAATTAAAATTAAGTTTTTTGTAAGTCTCAGTTTGAACATAGATGTGATCACAGAGCAAAGATACTGTTTTCTGGCAGTTTTCAAGATAAATATTCTGATCTGATATTTAGTTTCATATTTAGTGAAGTATGTTAAAATCATATATAAAATAAGATTACTGACTTAAACAAATACACAGTAAAGTACAACAAGTAACAGGAAGTAAATTTGAAATAAATCCACTCTGTTTCTGCCAATCTGCTGTGGCATTTCATTAAAATGCTACTTTGAGCAGTGTTCAAGAAATAAGGAATGATTATATAATATTGCAAAATATAATAACTAAAACCCACTTTTCCTTAATGTGCCGATTAATTTCTGTTTTCAAAGTTGAAGAAAAATGAAACATTTATAAGAGACATGGTTTTATAACAGGAAGAGAAAACAGGAAGTAGAACAACGTTAAAGTTTAAAGTTTGATGTTACCTGGTGGGATCACCGTCAGCTCCACAGCTGGTTCATTATTACAGAAGTATCTTCCAGTGTCTGATGCAGCAGCTCTGAGAATGAGAAGTGACTTAAATGTATCTGCCTGTGAACTGTATCGTCTGCCTGGATCATTGTGTCTTATCTCTCTGCCACCATCAACTGTAAGTATGTCAACTTTGTTTCCATTAATCTCTCTGCTCCACGTCACTTTACCCACAGGGTGAGGACATCGCAGAGTGACCTGGCTCTTCTCCTCGACTGCTTCATGATTTATTGCTGCAAATGAAACAGATTTTTTCATGAATCAAAAGTTCACATTTTACTGTCAAATGCAGCGATTGCCCATCAAACACAACCTCATTATAGTTTTATTATTAAAATATATTTTTGCATGAAAAAACTTTTAACAACAAATTAGTTACCAATTAATTTTCTGTCGACTGATCAATCAGTTGACCAAAAGTTTCAGCCGTACTTGGATAAAGTGTTGGGTAGTTTAATCTATAAACATATTTTATAAACTCTCTATACCTATCAAAGGTTTTGTAAAGTACCTCAAATTCATACTTAAATACAGTATTTGAGTAAATGTACTGGCCACTGCCAATAACAAATATATTTTAACAGGTGAGTAACTGATGAATTTAAAAAGTTCTTACCTGCAGTGACTTTACAGCTCAGAGCAAAGGCCAACAGGCAGCTGCAGATAATCACGCTCATCTTCACTCAGACTGAAGTGACTGACAGAATAATGTCTGACCTCAGCTTATCGAGGCTGAACAGGAACTGAGTGTCTTTTTGTGGTCGATGAATAATGATGTTTCCTTTAGTGTGAACATGAGCTCACACATCTTTCACCAACTACAAATAGCGTGTTGGTGCTGGAGAGTATTATGTGTTTAGTAGTATGATTTTTCCACTTACAGTAAAAGATTAGCATGTCACAGGGCAGCTCGCTGCATGAAGTCCAGCTGCATCTTCTATGAATTAGATATTTTCTGTGGCAACTAAAGTTTGTTAAGGTTTGAAAAAGGCGGTGGTCATAAGAAGAGTTAACATTAATTTGTATTAACATTAAGATCTTTGTATCAGCAGCGCAGCAGCTTGATCCTGACTGCTGGTTAAAGGTCCAGTGTGTAGTATTTTCAAATGTATATATTTCTCTATATCTATAAACATGTAGTTTAAAATAGTCTTTCCCTGTGATAGTTGTGTTTTGTACTTCTTTCAAGAGAGCGTGCGGCTCCCTTGTGTGGTTTTTACCGGAGGATCGTTTACACCGCCATGTAGGCTATTCTATAGCAAAAGTGATCATTAAACATTTTTCTGTTGGGTAAAAATCTACTTTGAATTTTGGAATTGATAATAAATACATTTTTTTTGGACTTTTAAACTTATGTGTGTGTTCTGGTCTAGATGCCCAATGGGAGTCTGAAAAAACAAGCAGAACAGTAGCCTAAGGACCCTGTTATAGGCCTACATAATAAGAATAATAATAATAATAAGAATAAGAATAATAAAAATAAGAATACAGCCTAATAAACTAACATTATGCTGCATTAAATTTAGAATATATGGTAAGGTAGGGACTTGGTTGTATCTAGTGAAAACATTGCTACATTGTCACCCCAGGATGAAAACAAATGTGTGAAGTGGCATAACTGCCTCTTCAGTCACTTCCTGGCGCTGGGCCTGCTGTGCTCACACGGTTCCTCCTTGCTCACCTCACGCTACCTCCGCTAAACGCCAGCCGAACCACGCCATCTTAGCCTGCCTGCCTCCTGTTGACCTCAGCCTTGCCAGCAACCTCACCAACAGATCATTTATTAAAGAAGAGTGTTGCTTTTAATACAATATATTGTGTTCTGGATCCACTTCTGCATCTACCTACAACATAATGTAACATCAAATGGCTTTCCAGTCGAGGCAGACGGGTTAGATTGATCGTGTTGAACGCTGTACTGAGATCGAGCAGGAGTAAAATGACACAGGAACCAGTTTACAGAGCGAAGGATGTAGTTACGTACCTTAAGCAGAGCTGATTCTGTTCTCCAACCAGACTGGAATTTGGAGGCTGTTGAACAAGTTCAAATAGGAAGAGACCAAGTCGTCTTTTCCTGGAAATAAATGGTCAAGATGGGCCTGTAGTTGTTATGGCCAGTGGGGTTGAGGCTGGCTTTCTTTAGTTGTGCAATTGCATGTTTAAAAGTGGAAGAGACAAATCCGTGTGTTTGAGAGCTAAAATTATAGCCAAAACAAAGAGGCGGACTGTGGTAAAAAAAAAAAAATAGCTTGACAGTGATGTCTACAGGACAACAGGGGGATTCATGTGTGAGACCAGTTCTGACAGCTTGGAGGACGACACTGGTTCAAACTGCTGGAGGTGTCTCTGTGGGATCAGGGGGTGAGATGTTAGATCTTATTGTCAAACCACCTTGTTTTAAAACAGTAACCCTTTAAAAGGTTGGCTATATAATATGCTACAGCTAAAGATCAAACTACAGTATCCTGAAAATCTGGGAGGAAAATGTGAACAGTAAGTGCATTTTTCTTGTACTACAGAGAAGAGCAGAACCCTGGTAAAACAAAATAAAATGCTGCTAATAACGTGAGGGACAGATGTGGCATTTGATAAAACAAATAGTCCAGCTGCACACAGCCTTGCAGAGGGAATACGTCCAACTAATGACAGATAGTTTGAATACCTGGAAAGATGCAGACATATAGGCTACTGGAGCCTAAGCCTAGTTCACACTACCACGCATCAAAATGGCTCCCTGACACATTTCTGACACATCACCGACGTCTGCCAGATATCTAGCATGCCAAATATCTGGAAGAGTTGGCCGACTCGACATCCACATCCAGCCAATGAGAGCAGGCGGCTCCATTTAACTATATCTTTTCAGATCGCATCGCATCTCAACTGTGGTGGATATGATTGTAGAAGTGAGCGCTATAGGCCTATTGCAGAGCCTCAAACACTCGAAATTCTCCAATTTCTATCTTATGTATGTCAGCATCAAGGAAGCATTTTGTTGTGGGCTGATCTGAAGCAGCTGGTTACCTGAGCAATCTAAGAAAATACCTGAATATCTTTATCAAGGGCGTGACCTCCTCTCCCTCGCCCTGTACGCTCCAGCCAATATCATATAGCTGCAGCCTCCGGTACTGCAGCCATATGATATTGTCCTGTTTTTCTAACTAAAAAAGACACTTATGTTGATGTTCAAGCTCATCTTAATTACATTTAATCAGGCACCGCCATCGCCCAAGTGTATCTGCTGCAGGTTTATCAAGTGTCACACACAAAGCTGCACAAATCTAAATAAATATTTTCAAAAAAACAATGTCTGTTTTTTTGTTTTCTATGTATCTGTTTTTCCGTTTTGGTTTTAAAACAGAAAAAACAAAATTAGGTTTTTTCTGATTTGGTTTTTAAATGAAATAATGAAAGAACGAACCATCCATGGATTCTTCTGCATCAGTCTTTCTCATCTTGGACATTTAGGGATTGTTTGTATCCATGTCTCATCTCCAATTGCAATCTAGTGGCGGGATGCCGACACTTCTTGGGTCACAAAATCGACATGCATTGTGGGAGATGTAGTTTATGGCAGCATAGATTTTTCTTTTAGGACAATCATGAATTTTTTAAGCTTTCTCGGGCCACATAAAATGATGTGGCGGGCCGCATTCAGCCCGCGAGCCTTGCAAGTGTTGCAAAGTGTGGGGTCAGGAGTGTGTGTGGGTGTGTGTGTGTGTGTGTTTGGGTAGGGGGGCATGAGAGTCAGTGACTGTGGGGACCCGGGCCTTGTTGAGGAAGCCCACTGCAAGATGTTTCTGTGGCAACAGGTTTTGGTTCTGATGGACCGCAGCCTCCTGCCAGAGGGGAGAGTCTGAAACAGTTTGTGTCCTGGGTGGGAGGAGTCAGCTGCAATCTTTCCTGCACACCTCAGAGTCCTGGAGGTGTACAGGTCCAGAAGTGATGGAAGATTGAAGCCAATCACCTTCTCTGCAGAGCGAATTATACGCTGCAGCCTGCCCTTGTCCCTGGCAGTAGCAGCAGCGTACCAGATGGTGATGGAGGAGGTGAGGATGGACTCAATGATGGCGGTGCAGAAGTGCACCATCATTGTCTTTGGCAGGCTGAACTTCTTCAGCTGCCACAGGAAGTACATCCTCTGCTGGGCCTCCTTGGTGAGGGAGGTGATGTTCAGCTCCCACTTGAGTTCCTGGGAGATGATGGTGCCCAGGAAGTGGAAGGAGTCCACAGTGGCATCACACAGCTCTTCCTGAAGTCCACGACCATCTCCACTGTCTTCAGAGCGTTGAGCTCCAGACTGTTCTGGCTCCACCAGGTCACCAGCTGGTCGATCTCCCACCTGTAGGTGAACTCATCCCCACCAGAGATGAGGCCAATGTGTCGTCCACAAACTTCAGGAGCCTGACAGACTGGTGACAGGAGGTGCTGTAACTATAACCCCAACCTCCAAACCCACAATGTTATGCTCATGTTATTGCCGGTAAATATTTACTTCTGTATGTGTTGGTTGATTTACTTTCTGGCTCATCCTGTGCTGATTTGTTGATCTTTGGAGCTTCTGGAGCAGGTGAACAGTTTCAGGTTCCTGGGAATCAGCATCACAGAGAACCTGACGTGGTCGACTCACATGTACACACTGGTGATGAAAGCTCAAGGAAACTTAAAAAGGCTAAATTCCAGTGCCGAGATTGGTCAACTTTTACAGAGGAGCAATAGAAAGCATCCTAACTGGAAAAATCACCAAGTGGCATGGGATGTGCACAACCCAATTAAAATCACTCAGAAGATCATTGGTACCCATCTACCAAGTAGTGATATCAGTGAGATGAGGTGCCTGCAGAGCCTAAAGGAAACTAAAAGATAGCACCCATCCAGCCACAGCCTGTTCACATATATATATATATATGACAGTCCTGATCATGAAGGACCCCCAGCAGGGAACAATCCCATCCAACTACCGGCCAATAACCTGCCTCTGCACAACATGGAAGCTTCCCCTCAGCCAGATCATCACAAAGACTGGCTACGGAGACCGGTTCCGAAGTGGGGCAAGCACGCTTTTACTAGGGTTGTGAGGATTGGATCCAGATGACATGTGGAGTTATTGGACTTGGCAATAGTTTCTGAAATGTGACTTTCAGTTTGAAGGCTGAAGTCACAGAAGACAGTGGATGTAGGCAGTGATAATGAACTTACTGATTGTAGGTTGGTCTGCACTGTGCCAAGATGTATTACAGTGATTTTTGAGTAGAATAATGTCAAGAAAGCAGAGCCCTGTTCATTTGAAAGGTTATTGTTCATATTAGTTTCCGGTGGATTGAGTAGTTTTTTTACTGTGGGGAAGAGGATTTTGGCATTCCCTTCACTTGCCGCAGTGATGTTTGCGTAGTATGAGTTTTTGGATGTTGAGAGAGCATTTTTGTATAGCAGTATATGATCATTGTACATCTGTTTATGTACAGCAAGTCCAGTCTTTTTGTAGAGCCTCTCCAGGCGGCGTCCTATGCCCTTAAGCTGACACAGTTTGGATGTGTACCAGGGAGAAGTATGGGTAAATTAATCCGTGTTTTTAGAGGGGCTAAACTGTCCAGAGCAGAGGATAAGCTGTCATTGTAGTAGTCCATTAGATCCAGAGTTGAGGTGGTGGGCGGTGGAGCTGGGTTTGATGTAATTAAACTGATAAGGCTTTCTGGGTGCACATGTCTAATGTTTCGATATGGTATGAGCAGTAGGTTGGTGTTGAACAGTACAGCTTTATGGTCAGAGATGGGTAACTCGGCAGATGTGAAGTTATAGGGTAAGATGCCAGAACAACAGACTAGGTCCAGGATGTGGCCCTTGGTGTGTGTAATGAAGTACTCTAACATTGTTTTAAAATCTTTTGTGAACATGTTATCAGGTTTATCAAAAATCCCCAATTAAAATGATGTTGGGAGACATAGTGTGCTTAAGACTGTTGAGAGCTCAGTGATGAACATGTTGGATGAGTTTGGTGGTCTGTATATGACAGCAATGATAGTAGGTGTTGGTCTACGAAGCTTAACTCAAAGGAACACCGATCAGGTAAACAGAGTTGTGTTAGTTTTATACACTCATGATAGATCAGCGCAAGGCCGCCTCCGCTTCCTCCAGAGGTTGGTTTGGATATGTAGGTGAAGCCAGGTGGAGCTGCTGAGTTTAGATGAATCATTTTGTGGCTGCCATGTTTCTGTGAGACATAAAAAATCCAGTTTGTGACCTGTGATGAAGTCATTCACTAGCGGGGCTTTATTGACAATAGAGCGGATGTTGAAGAGAGCAAACTTATGGCAGGTCCTGTGTGTATGTGTGTGTGTAGATGATTTGGCTAGTGGAGACACTGAAGTCTACACACCGTGTACTGTGTGGGCGGGATGCCCTTTGCTTAATAACAGTCTGTATGGGTAAACTGGAGTGGTGTAATGATAGATGAGGCCAGGAGGGTGCTGTAGCTGGAGTAAGTGTACTCAGTGTGAGACACGAGGAAGATACCGGGGAAGGGGTGTGTGATTTAAATAGTCATTCACGTGGAGCGGACTGTACAGCGTGCTGCTAGTTAGCCCCTAGCATTAGCCTACCCAGCCTGTTTTTGTGGACTCCCCCCCAAAACAAGTTAAAATTTTCTATAAAACCGATATTGCGTGCTCTGCAGGTGGAGTTTAACCAGGTGTGGAGGCTGAGGATTCTGGAGAAGCGCCCTGCTCCATAGATCAGTGTGGGAATAGGACCAGAAATAAAAACTTTCTGTACTTATAAGCTTATAAGGTCATTAAAATCCTTTTTGGTCAGCTCTGACTGCTCACAAGCCGCATTGTTTGTCCCCACATGGACAATCACTCTGTGTATGGTGGGTGGAAGTGAGCTCAGCAGCCCCGGGAGCTTATCAGGAGGGTAGGGACTGTGGCTCCAGGAATGCACTGAGTGGTTGCATTAAAGAAACGGATGTTCCTGATTATGGAGTCCCCAACTATTAATGTAGTTGGAGAGAAAAGGGAACGAGGGGATGACAGTTGCAGATTTTTGGAGCGGGACAGCATAGAATTAACTTCCTCAGTATGTGTTGACTGAGGATGGGACTTGTGGACAGGCAAATGTTGTGTTGAGGGAGCAAGGTTTGACCTGAGAAAGGGATTTCCTGCTGTCAGGGAGCAGGGATGGCCTCCAGACTGTCTCTGCACAGCGTCCCTCAGGATCCTATGCCGGGAAGCGGAGGTTCTTGACTGGGATGGTTGTCCAGAATCAGACCGGGGACCCAACCGAGCACCACTAGCTGGAGGGAAGGCCCCAGGGTCGGCAGGCATCGTCCACAGACCGGGGTCATTATCGGGACATGCTGGGCCCGCAGGTGTATCCACTGTGTGTACCGGAGTGTGTCGGACAGGGACACATAGCGGTTAGAGAGGCTTATCCGCGGTGGTGATGCATCCCCGTCCGAATCTCTCTTGCGTCCACGGACCACAACTTCGGCCCAAGATGACTGGTGTTTTGGTGTCGAGCAGGATGGAAGCCGTGGGCAAGTAGAGGGATCCCACAGCATTGTGTCATGGATGGTGGCGTTGAGGGAGGCAATCTGTTTGGTCTGTGCAGGAGCCACTTCCATGAAGCTGGTCAGAAGGGAGTCTTTTTTCTGGAGTTCATTGGATAGCTGTCAGATGTCTTTTCTGAGGTCAGTGATCTTTTTGTTTGCGTCATCAGGTAGAATGGAGTTCTCACAAGGTATTTTTGGCATGGTTGTTTTTGGTTTGCTAGTAACCGTAGTAGTATGTCTGTGTGGAGCTGGTGTAAGCTACTAGGTTAGCTCGTGTGTATGGATGCTAGCTTAGCTCACTTTCTCTAGACTAGAACTTTCTGTGTTGCTTCCTGCTGGGTTGGTAGTTTACTGACAACTTCAGGTTGTTGTAGTTGCTCCAGGAGCAGGTGAAGAACGCAGCAAAGCTCTCAATGTTTCAGCCAGATCTGTACAGTCGGTCTCCTCACAGTCCTCTCAGTAGCTGAGATGGTGGTTTGCCCCGCCTTGGAGATATACAATAAATGCAGACAAGACCTTGGAGATATACAATTTAAAAAATTGTATAGTATTTTTCTCCTCCAATATAACATTTTATTTGCACTATAAGCTGCCATCTCAACCTATTTTACTCAAAGAGCAAAAGTTAACACTGAACCACAGATTTTGAATTATGTACAAACTTGTTTTCTAACCATTGCTTTAATTGTGTGTTAAATAAGGAGCAAATATCATTAAAAAAAAGCAAATAGGAGGCTGGAACCAGGCAAGCTTTATTGGTTTTAAACAGCAAAACACTGCTGGCAGATAAAAACCACACTCCTGCGAATAGCACATTTGCAGGAATGATGAAAACAAACTCTATTTAAACTCTCATGGACAACAACCATCGGTCACCTCCTCTACATGGATGACATCAAGCAGTATGCCAGAAATGACGAGACGTCGACTCACTGATCCACGCTACCAGGATCTACAGCAACGACATGGGAATGTCATTCAGACTGGACAAGTGTGGTCGCATGGTATCAAAAAGAGGGAAGATGATCAGAACCGAGGGGGTTGAACTACCAGAAGGCCACATTGCAGATGTTCAGGACAGCTACAAATACCTTTGGGTGCCGCAGGCTAACGGAAACCATGAGGAGGCAGCAAGGAAGTCCACCACAGCCAAATACCTACAGAGAGTGAGGCAGGTCAAAACAAGATCTGAGCCATCAACACATACGCCCTGCCAGTCATCAGATACCCCGCTGGTATAATAAACTGGCCAAAGGAGGTATAAACACAATAAAGCACTAAAGGTAGTAATTTCATCACACACCACACAAGAAAGTAAGTGATTTATTAGTCAAACAGCTTTTACTTTGTTAATAGAACAGTATATTAACAGGTTTTTTTTTTTTAAATACAGTTATGTGCTTAGCTTAGAGCATGAAGACTGGAAGCAAGGGGAAACCGCTAGCCTGCTCAGTTCTTTCTCACCAATAATCGCTGTTAATGGTACAAATGAAGTGGATGGCCTATGATTTTTAGATTCTGTATCTCATCTGCTTTTATTTTCAAATACACAAGAGGACCAAAGTCCTGCAGGCATCTGCTCAGCTAATTAAATGTTCACTCTGCAGTTCACAACACCTGCTCCCTTATTGATTTTAAAAACACAAACAGTGCTCACGTTTAGACGTACAAGCTGCAGGCGGTGTGTTTCAGCACAGCCTGTCCTCATGCGCCCCTCACTGGAGTTATGTAATAATTCACCATCTCCACCCAGAAAGATTTAGATTTCAATAGAAAAGTCCCTGCAGAAATGGAGCATATTTCAGTAGCTTACACAGTCGGTTGGTTAAGTTTAGAAAACCATCTTATTTTATGTACGGTGGAGGCTACTAAACACAGCAGCGCTTTCATAATGCTTGAATCAACGTGACTTCAACAATAACAGTTTGCTTTGCATTGGTAAACCGTAATAGGCTAGTGCGAATGTCAATTTGACGTGGACCCGGAATTTCCTCGTTTTAATTGGTTGATTTTTGCTGTCCATCAAAATACGCTGTTTTGATTGGGCTAATCACCTTTAAAGCCCCGTCTCTAAATCGTCCTCAACAGTAGGCTAGCTAGCGCCCCAATCGCACTCTCTGAATCACCCCCATTGGTTCCCCGCCTCGTCAATCACACCATTCTTTGCTGTTATTGGCTGCTTTGTCAGAAATGGGCGGAGGTTTTCCGGAAAATGCGTTTCCTCGTCTGTCATATGCGGAGCAAAGGGAAGAACCGACAGGCAGACTGACCGGAGACACAAACAGAATACAAATAACACCTTTCCGACGGAGGAAACACCCCTTTAATTTGAATTATAAATAATATCCGTGCCCAATATCACCGCGGTACCTTACAGCTAAATTTAGCCGCTGTGTTCTGCCTGTGTTTGTTTAGCTGCTCTCCAAACACACCGCCTTTGTGGCTATGAGTACGGACCTACTAGCTGATTTGGACAGTCGTTTCTTCGCTGATAACCTCCTGACAAGCGAAGACTGGGGTGAGTTCACATTTAAAGCCTCTGTAACGGAAAATAAACATCTATTTTCATCGGTAAAAAAGCAAGCCGAGGCGTGAAAACGACCCAGCAGCCTCCCTCCTCCTTCTCCTCCTCCTCCTCCCAGGCGAGACGGAGGCGACGCGAGGGCGTTAAAAACGTCTTTAACGGTTAAATTTCTCCTTTGCAAAGTCTTCAATACGCACGTTAACGGCTTTATTTAATAAAGAAGGCGTGAAATTGCGCGTGAGATGACCGTTACACGCGGTTATAACGTGTACGTGTGCGTAGGCTTCCTCAATCACACCCGGATATGTCAGTTTATCTTTAGCGCTGCGGGTGTAGCACAGCGTGATCCCGCATTAACAGAAGCAGCACACGTCCCCTCTTCTCTCTCTTTCACTTTATAAAACCCGCACTTTACTGTCCTGTGTTGACATGTTTCCTGTCGCAGCTCTTATCGTGGTCAGGCAGTTGCATGTGGCTTTTTAGCTGGTGTAGTTAGTGTCTTAAAGTAAAAGCAGTTCTGCCTTTTGACTGCATGTGGGAATATTAACCTGCCAGGAACTGATTAATACCTGTCTGATATTATATATACAGTTTATACACCATGCATGAATTAAATCTAAATTTCAGAAGTACAAGCCGATGAGTTTGTGGGACAGGAAGGATGCTTGTTTTATTTATTAAGTAGATACCATCCACATTGGCATGTGTTTGTTTGCATATACAGCTAGTTAGAAATATCCTGTTGTGTTACATCCTGAAACATAAGAACATATTCGACTACTAACTGTTCAACAGAGGAGAATTTTGTCACTAAATGATTTCTTATGATGATTGATAGGTTTCATTATCATGCAGCCCCACAGACAGACAGGTGCTCTTACATCAGGACAGGCAGGTTTTTAATCTGGCTGTTTTCAGACTGAAGCATAATTATTTGAAAGGTATTAGAGAGGAGAATAATTACCATGTTACCTATCAGTTAAATGCTGTAGGCTGTGGATGAACCACCTGGGTCTTTAAGTAAATTTGAGAGTCAAACACTGAGATTGTTGAGATTTACCGCCTGCTGTGGCTGGTTGACAAACTTATTTTACTGCGCTGTTGCTGTGGTGGAAGGTAGTACAATTACTGTACAAATTCAAGGTACTTGAATTTACATTTCATCTCTCTTGTACTTCTACTTCGATACATTTCAGAGGGCAATATTATAGTATTTACTTCGTTTATGTGACAAATTTATTCGCTTATTTCCCAGCTTTAGAACGTGCTGCATTGTAAAATAAACTGCTACCCCTATAAAGATTGATCTTAAATGGTAAATTGCTTTGTCAGTTAACAAAACATGAATCACAGACTGTTTTGATAACTTATTAATCATTTAAAGTAATATCACTTGTAAAACTACCAGAAACATTTCATCGTTTCAGCTCCTCAGACGGACAGTTTGCTGCTTTTCTTCATCTCGACTGAAGTGAATTATTTTGAATTTTGAAGTGTTGGTTGGACAGAAAAAGGCACCTGAAAGTGTCACGTTGAGCTCTGTTTAATTCTGAATATAATACAGAAAACATTGATTAATTAAGATAACTTATCAGAATAATCTATAATGAAACTCAACCAACTACAAGAGAAACATGCTGCTTAAACATAGTAATAATAGTAATCTAACAATATACTAACAAATGTGTGTACGATATACTGCACACACTCACAGGGGACATTTCTCTGCACTGAATAATTCTACATTTGATACTTAATGTGCATTTTCCTGATTATACTTTTGAACTTAAGTAACATTTTCAATGCAGGACTTTTACTTTAACAGAGTAATTTTACAGTGTGATATTAAACTCTGTTAGATTAGATGAAACTTTAATGATCCCCGTGAGAGAACTGGGTCAATGCAGCAGCACGAGCTAATGCAGACGAGAGGTAGAAAACCACAAAAGACATTTTTACATTTTACGAACGAGAAAGCACTAAATAAATAAATCAATGAAACAAGTTATTCTGTTCCTTTTCAAATGGGCCCTTAAAGGAAAAGGAAAAGGCCCCCAAACCACCCAGAATCATTTTAGCTTTGGTATTTTGGTGCATAACAACATAACCGGTGACAGGGAATCATAAATAAAACGCATACAATTTAATGAATAATAAAGAATATGTAATTGGCTACGATTTCAATTGACCTATAATTTATAACGAAGTCATACTGACATGTTTTATCTAAGTTTCCACAGTTTAAAATAGTTTATACCTTAAATCCGACATTTCAGTTTATTTGTCATATTTACAAATATTAGTTTAAAGGACAAAGAGAACCAAGCATAGATGACACAAAGCAAGTGAACCCTCCCGTTTCTGTGTCTTATCTATTCGTCTATCAGCAGGACTTGTGAAATGTGAAAATATTCTGGTGTTACGCGGCAGAGACGAGCTGATGAGATGTAAACCACGTGCTGCTTCGATTCACACCTGCTGTCTTTCACGAGATGTAGGCACGAGAAATGGCCTCAGTGTTTGTTTCAGTTTCAAAGTCCAGAGTTGTGTTTTCACCTCTACATCATCAAAGCAGGCAAAGCATGATGGGAGAAATGGTGTTGTTATAAATACTTATATTTGTGGAGGTGACAATAAGATGCCATATAATATTATTTAAAGTGCTTAACTAATCTGTATGCACTTGGTTGTCGTTGTGTTTGTTATCTTTGTTATTTTGCAATGTGTGGTGTTAAAAATGAAAATACTGAAGCATGGCAAATTTTTTATTTTTCCGTTGAATATATTGGCTATTAATATACTTCTGTTCATCAGTATTCACTTGTTCCTCTCTCTGCTCACAGCATGATGTGTTTAAATCCTGTGTCTCTCCTCAGATGCCTGCCTGTACCAGTGTGAGAGCATGGAGGAGGGGGAGGACGGAGACTTCGGCCGGGGCCTGAAATACGAAACATCGGTAGGGAGACAAAAAGAAAGCGTCGCTGCTCGCAGCTCTGGTTTCTGTCCGGGACTGAGAGTGTAACCGATGCTCGGTCTAATATGCAAACACTCCCCCTTCATACAGTTCACGGTTTGATAGGTTCAGAGCTCAGTCTGCGGGGGAAAGTCATAATTACTAAAGACCATCATTCCCTCTCAGTAAATGGCTCCTTGTAACCGTTAAGGGCATCTGAATGTGATTAGTCTTTTTATTCTATTGTGTTTTTAGTCATGCTGGTGTTGTCGGGTTAGTCAGTCCACTACCTTACAGTGAAATATCTTTACAACTATTGGATTGGATTACCAAGACATTTGGTACGGGCTTGCGTGCATGAATCTGAAAGGCTACGGTGATCAAAATACGTCTAAAACTAACAAAATTCCTGTCAGCTTCAGCTACACTTTGAGACTAAAGGCCAATTTATACTTATCTATGAGTATGTGAGGAGTGTAGCCTGACGGGCTCCTCCCCAAAAATGTAACTACACATCAAAGAGACGCAGAGCACAAGAACTGTGTTTGGTTGGCTTGGGATCATTGCATCTGGCTTGTCCTCCTTCTTCTGGCTCAACCGGTTCAGGAGCCATTCACACCATCTCTCGTTTCTGCGTTTTAGTAATTTCACTAAAAGTAACTGCTGTTTAACATCGATCAGCTCCAACTCCAGCATGATCCGCCCACTTTCGGTCGGCATTGTTTGGAGCACCTGTTTCATGTTGCAGATAAAATAGCCTTTTTTTTTTTTATTTAACAAGATAAACTTTTTCCATGTTACTACGTGCAGCTAAGGCTGAAGCTGATGGATTTTGAGTTTAGACTGTCAATGAAATGCTCAGTCTATGTCCCAGTATAGCCACCTTCAGAGGATGAACCCTTCACATTTAGGTAACAATGTGGCTCTGAGGAAACTTTACATGTTCAACCAGCTAAACAAAGTCAATGTTAGAAGTTATTTTTCTTGTTCTCCACGACTCGTGGCAAAACTGATTCCTGGTTGAAGCTGCCGGTTAACCAGGAAGTGTGCCGCTCTTTTGTTTACCGTGATCCGTGACCCGGTAGGGGCTACTTAGAAGTGAAATGAAGATGTGTTTACTGTTGTTTAAAGAACCAGTTTAATGCTCACAATTAATGGACTCAGCTGTGCTGTTCCCACGAGAATGCTTTCCAGAGTGTTTACAGTGAATATAATCAGTGTAGATAACATACTGACTGAACGCACCACAGATCGTTCATGCTACATGCTCACAGAACTTAACAGATAATTAAATGTGTGTAAAAATAATGTATCGCCCCCACGAGAATGCTGCTACAGCAAATACGATTACTGCTACCACTATTTGAGTATTTAAGGAATACTTTTATATATACGCTTACTGTAGACTCTGTAATTAAACATATTCACTTTGTGCAGCCTGCAATGCAAATCAGGTCTTTCAACCATCAGTGAGTACAGATGATGGGTCAAAGAATAATCAGGCTAATTGTTAGTCGGTTGGCTGAATGGAACAGGTGCAGATGTGATGGATCCAGCAGTTGTTTGGCCTAATTTTCCACCCGCCTTTTCTCTCCCTCCCCTTCCTCTGCCAACCTTCCTCGCAGTTTGAGAACGACCTCGTGCTCACCCTCGATCCTGACAACCCCACATCGCCATGGCAACACCTGGACGACAACCTTCTCACAGGTAACAGGACCAGCCGACCGTGGGCACTCGCCGGGGAAACCTTAAACCACCTTTTGATATGCGTTTTGCAGAGTATTATGCAGTAACAGCATAATAAGATACTATAATAATGTACAGCCTGGATTTATTCCTTATTTTTTAATTTATTGTGTTTCACCCACTTCGGACACTTGGTGTCATCTGCCATGTTTTGTTACCGCAGATTTTCTGTGTGAAGTTTCTAACATGAATTAACATGACACATAAATGATGTCATGTCTAAGTGTTTAGTGATTCTGTGCTGTTGATATAACTGTTAAACATCCTGGGTTTTGGTGAAATTCATGAGAAAACACTGAGTCATTTAAGTTTTCAGGATGAAAATCATCCAACTCAAACCGTAATCTTTATATTTATATTGTATTGCATCAGAAATCGTAATAATAAATAAAGGTATTATAATTACTAAATCTAAACTATTGAGTCACATTCCAGTCACATTTAAACCTCAGCTGCTGCCACTTTGATGTCAGATTAACTCTTGTCTTTGTCTTTTTTCTCTGAAGGGGAAGCTCCTGTGATTAAAAGTGAAATGACTATTACTCAGCCGTTACCAGTGGAAATGTGTAGGTCTCTTTTTAAATCTAACTCAGCTGTTGAATATGATTTCATTCTCTGCAGTTCTCATTTTACTGGTTGGTTTGTGTGTCCAGTGTTCCAGGTGAAAGCAGAGCCTCCCTCTCCTGCATCCTCGCTCGGGTCCGACTGCTCGGTGTCCTCGCCAGACCCACAGGTGTGTGTTTAAGAAAATACTTCATCTGTGAGAGGAATCTCCATTAATCAGTTAACTGCTAGTTGCAGCCTTATTGTGCATGGTGGGAATTATTGTTGTGGAAATGGACATTATACGACATTTATCAAGACAACATGTAAACATGGAGGAGGTTTGCATTAACTGGGGAAATGACAAGTCAAGGCATTTCTCTAATAGAAGGCCTGATTCTCTTTACGGCTGAAGTAAATAAACTTATACCACTACTTATTTCTTAAATCGTGGAAGTATTCTTTTAACTCTATAATTAAACATATTGGCGTCTTCTGTTCAGGTCTTTTAACCTCTTAACATTCCCGCAGGCCGTCAGGTCCTGTCCCACACAGCTGCTATGTTAACTTCATACTCATATGATAAAGCTAAAATCCTCGTGATTCGACCAATGCAAAGCATTTCAAGATACAATCCCCACAGCGGGTACAATCAGCGCCTCTGTCAGACCAACCAGTATAATCACAATTGACGCGACTCACCTATGAAGCCTCACAGTAACTTAATCCACCGATTGATTATATTCCAACAAAAATGGTCTTATTACGTTGTCAAAGGTCCAGTTCATCCAATCCAGCAGTCCAAAACACATTATTGCATCAGTAAATCCCCACAGACTGCTGCCGCATCATTTCAGATTTGCTGGCAGACGCGGCTCGTATGTCATTATAACCGTAATAACACTTAGAAAAACCTGTGTAAAATAGTCATTTTTCATGGTATTGGTATGAAATTTAATCTTGGACTGGGCCCTACAGTGTTTTCCAGCTAATAAGCCCCAGCTATGGTTGTCTGCATGCATTTGTTAGCAAGCATTTTCAGGCAGAAATGAAAAATATACTGTAAAACTTTGAATAATAGCCTGGGCTTTTATTTGAAGAGAAGTTAGCAGAGAGCGACGGACTTCACATGACAGGATTCACAATTTGGATTAATTTTTATGAAAAGCTGTTTTGATTCTTTTGATGGGTGGACCCTCACAGACTAAAGGAAGATAAATAATCAAGGAAGGGACACATTCGGGCTTAACGAGGCTTCAAAGGTAAAGCAGTCATCACTTTTATTTATTTTTTTCTTTCCTCTCTTGTACCAGGCAGGGTACACCGGTACATCCGGTCCGTTAAATGAACTGAACTATTGAATTGTGGAGAATCTAACCGATCTAACGATGTGTAGCATGTCCATACTGACACATTGATCATACGTTTAAGCAGCTTAGAAGCATCTAAAGTGGGCGACTCCGCGGGGTTTAAAATGTTTTATACATCCAAAGAACTTTTATAAAAACCAGACCAGGCGTTAAATTGTGGCAGGCGTTTATTTGTCAAAATGTGTTCCCACACCAGGCCAGTAAATGATAGGCGGAAGTTTTACGGTATTAGTTTTAGTGTGTTTAAACTTATATTAATCTATTCCAGTAGCACTTAGACACTCCAGAGCGTTGTCTTTCAGAGAAGCCCAAAACCAGGCGTATACTCCAAATGGTTCAAGAACTGCATTCAATTTACTTTGGATATGCCTTGAAGAGGCGTTTAGCATGAATTTTACAGGAATGTTAAGAGGTTTTAACTCTCAGTAAGTACAGATGATGGTGTCAGAGGATGATCAGGTTAATGCAGCGAAACCCATAAAACAAACCTGGATATCAGAATCTGTCTTCTCTCCCGTCCAGATCACAGTTAAAGGTGAAAACCCTCCGACTCCTCCATACATGTACGGAGACGTGCTCTCTCCTCCGCTGGGGTCCATGGAGATCACGGTGGCCACTTCAGCCGTACCCCCTCAGCAGACGCAGCTACAGACGCCGTTAACGACACAGATCCCAGCAGTCATCAGTGGACTCCAGACTCAGGCTACAGGTAGGTTCAGCCTCTCGCTGGGAGAGCTTTAAGCTTTAAGGTTGTGAGCAGAAATAAACATGTTTTCAGCCTGGTAGAAAAACCGGTTTGATCTCTAAAGCTAATTTCCCCGTTCATGACGAGGGTGCAGGGGGTCACTTTTTATATAACTCACCTGTTTATGTTAAAGTTATGCATATTTTAGGACGTGCCTCTCAGGTGGCTAGCTCACTAGGTGGTTCAGCATCCAGGCTTCATTTAGCTCCACCTCTTTGCACATTTTTGGATTAGCCAGTCAGGCCGCCGGGAGCTGAGCGTCACAACAGCTCTTCAGAAACCCATGTTTGAAGTCAGTGGGCACGACATCCATGCTTATACGGTCAATGGGAAAAACACTACTACTTTACTACTGTACTTTAACTATATGTCATTTTGTTCTATATGATGCACCAGATTTGTGTTGATGCGACGCTCTCTAACCCCCAAACAATATCTTTTTGGTTGTTTCATTAATTGTGATTTTGCCAACATATGCAATCTGCATCATACACACAAATACAAACAAAACAAAAACCCCTAAACATGACACCAAAGCAAAACAAGAGGGGGAAACAAAACGCAACGATAACACACATTTACATGTTACATTAACATGTCCGCCTCAGTGTCTTCATATCTGATCACTTTAAATATAATATAAATAAACAAACATGCATCATATCAGAAGTCTTTGAATGCAGATCATCTTTATCTACTACTCTAGTATTCTTCGACAGTAACTTCACTTAACTACATTTTAGTAGTAACAAAATAAAACAAAGAAAGCGACACCGTCAGTTAGGTTTGGGCGGTAATATTGCATATTACAGTATACCAGGGGGAGCTCCTCTTTATATTAAACTGATATGGGGGTGAGGTAATGTAGGCAGGTAATGCCGCGTGCAACTGCCTGACATCATCTTCAACTTGGTAACCCCTTTCATTATTCCAGCGGCGTGGAAACAGAGCGCGCACACACACACACACACACACACACACACACACACACACACACACACAGGAGCTTTATCTGCAGCCTTTATTCACTGACAAGCTGTAACCTACACCGTAAAGTTACAGCTCACCTTTCCCTCTGTATTCTCTGTGCCGCTCGCTCGCTCTTGCTCAAACACACTTTTACTACACTCACAAAAAAGAGCTACTTGATGGTGAGTGGTGGGGATAAAATAGATAAATATCTGTTGCACTTTACACCACTGTACTCTGCTGCAAAACTGTAGTCGTTTCCTTCTGAGTTGAAAGCAAAGTGCCGCCTGAATTGAAAGACGCTCTCATATCTGGAGGTCTTGCTCACATGAGGGTTAAATGCAGCGTGAGATCGACTGTCAGGTTGGTGATATCGGAGCTGAGCCTGAAGGTAAAGCTCATCAGAGGAGGTATTCAGTACTGAGACCACAGGACAGACCTACAACACAATGCACGGATTACTGTTTGTCTCATCTGGTGTGGGAACTCTCGTGGATCTACTCCGCTTAGTCTTCTTTCACTGCAACAATAGCGGAATAAGTATTCAAATCCTTTTGTTAATATACTCAACTACAAGTAAAAGTCCTGCATTTAAAATCATGTAAAAGTTATAACTTAAATTTAAAGTTCTGCTGCACAGATTAAGTAAAAACATTTTAAAACTTTTCTCTTTTTGGGAAATATGAAATAACTTCACCTGTTTGAGCCTCAAACAATTGTTTAAAGAAAACAGTGTGAGAAGTTTAGAGGGAGAACAACTCAAACATTTGAAACATGACAAGCGGCTACAATTAGACACTGATTTATTGTGAGGGGTCACAAGCCAAAAGCTTGGGAAACACTGGTTTAACCTTAACCAATTGTATTTGCTGAATTTATGAAAATTTTGAGCGTTAAACAGTTAATTTCCTGCGCTCTGGAAATGTTTCTATTTATGTAAAGAGAAACGCAAAATTCAGGTGGCAGGTGACGATTCAAAATATAACAGAATATAATGCAGTGCACCTCTCATGCGGAGACTGATGAAGATTTATTATGGTTCATTGAGCCCGGCCGAGAAGACACAGCGCCAGCTTACAACATGTGAACACACTGAATGCCAACACCAAATCTGAAGAATAACATCTTTTGGTCTTCCCCCTCGTTCATGTATGTTTCCCTTTTAAGGTCATCTTTAACTGGCTTTAACCTAGAACAACAAATCTATCTGATGTTTAGACTTCAATGCTTCACCAGGTCCACGAGTTGTTCTCTTATCGGTGGAGCCAGTAAATTCTTTTAGGACTCAGCCTTGCCAGATTCCCAGAGAACACCGATATCTGCCAGCCTGACGTCTGAGCTGCTGTCTCTACCTTATCAGTCTAACTGTTGCCTCCCTAACAAGGACAGTTACATGAGAGAAATAAGAGCTGGAAGCACTTGTGGGGTCAGCTAATGACTTTAAGCCAGACCTGTCTTACCTTTCCCTGTTACATCAACAAAGCTCCTTAAGAAATATCCTCAACACATCTCAACAGCAATCAGTAAATCAAATGCTCTGAAACAAAAATGAATAAAATCAGCTGTTTCAGGACTAAAATAAGCATGTGTTTTGGGGGAGTGTCTTTTGAGAGAGGCCTGAAGGGAGGGGGTGGGATTTGATTTGGTTGGATACTTTTAAAAAGTAGGTCTGCAATTTTGCAAGCACCTCAAAATTACAGACCTAGATAATAATAGGGGTTTAATGATACACCGAATCCACAGTTGGAGACATCATCACGTATTCATGACAAACGTGCAGTTGGAAGACAATAAATTGGTTGAAGGTGTAATATTTACAAAATAAAGACCTACAGCTGGCAGAGAAACACAGAGAAAGATGTTATCTGATATTACGTTAACGGGCACGGAGGAAATGTTACGTTACGGAGCAACAGTGAATGCACCACTGCAGACGTCACTCAAAAATGTTTGTTTCGATCCACATGCTGCGCACTTGAAAACTGAATCGCGGGTTATTTTATTAAACACGGCGACTTTGTGAAACGTACTGCTGATGGAGAAAGTCAGCAGAGACGCATGCAGGGAGAGAGAGACAGAAAGAGGCGGAGCCAGACGGTGAGAGACAGGCTAGGTTAGCTACTATAACCTACAGTCATATAAACACTGCTACGACCCCACCGGCCGCCGCCACAGTCTGCACAACTGTCCGGGAGCGTCTGTGTCGTGATTCTGTCTCTCGATTCCACGACACGAGACCGTGGACTTTTGTGTCACGGTTTCAGTCGCGGTTTCAGAACCGTTACAGCCCTATTGAATAATAAACAGCAGATAATGAGCGGATAGTTTGGTGTGTTTCAGGACCGCAGTAAAGAAGCTCCTGGCAGACACACACACACACCTGCTCCTCCAAACACCAGCTTTTCTTTGTGTGCATGCAAATGATTCAAGTGATAACATACTCATTTGTGTAAACTCAAATGACTTGAGAGTATGATGGGAGCGATCAGCTGGAACTTCTATTTGCATTGCAAGATTTTCCACTTCACGCCACAAGAGTACTGAGTCGTGTATTGTTGTTGTGTTTCTACAGTGCAACGCAGTTTAATGAGGCTGATGTAGGAAATGCATCAAACTCTGCTGTTGGTGTTTCAGAAAGATCCTGACGTCTGAAAATGTTTGTTTTTCTCTCAGTTCTGCCGGGTTCGGCCACATTAAAGGCCAGCACCATCCTGAGCACCAAACCTCCCATCCAGCCCAGGCCGGTGTGCGTCACCACCCTCCCCGTCCCCCAGACCCCCGCACCAGCCAAGACCCTCATACTGCAGGGCCTCCCCTCCATGGACCAGACCAGACCTGGTAAGAGGTGTTTAATTAAGCTCATTATCTATTTAGTTATAGAGTTTTGGGGGAACATTCAAACACTAAATGACTTTCTACTGGCCGTGTCATGCGGTCAAACTTGTTAAACTTTCAGCCTCTGGCATTAATACCAGAGGCTGAATCTAAAACCACATCACTGTTGTGAAGGCTTAGTGGTGGACAAATGGGATTTACAGGTTCTTAGCCACGCCCGTTTCACAAAAGCAGTTTGCAAGCACTGTTACATGCAGCTCACAAATATTGGTCTGATACCTGTTTCACAAATGACTGTCACACACAGACACTTTTGAAATCATACCGGCCTCTCGTATGTTCTCCCATGAGTGTGAAAGTGTAAACTTGTTTTTGTGAAACTTGTTAATCACAGCTTGCAGTTTGCCCTAACAGCTTTGTTCTATCCACCACCCTGGTTCAGAGTTAAATATCTGGACAATTGTTTTGGTGGTTGGCAACACATTTCATGGTAGCACAGCGGAGTCTAAGTGCAGCTGAGTCCAACTAAAGGTTGGACCAAGTTTGTCAATAATGCAAGGCTGAAATTGTCTAAAATGGCCACCATACAGAAGAGAAACCCCTTTTTAAATGTAGGTAACAGGGTCCTTTGAGTCCAACATCCGAACATCAGTTCTTTGAAGTCAGTGCCTTGTTCTACGCAGGGAAAACAACCTGTATCAGAGCAGCGATGATGCTTCTCTTCCTGTCTTCCCTCCTCCAGTCGTCCTGTCTCCGTCCGTCTGCCTCGGTTCAGCTCCGGCCATCGTCAAAATGGAGCCCGTCTCTCCCAGCATCCCCCAGCACTGCTCCAGCCCCACAGCTCCGCCCACTAGCAAACCCATCGTTCCGGCGACGCCGCCATTACCGTGCAGCAACTCCAACGACATTGACGTGAGTTCTGACTGAGTCCATAGTTTGGACGCCAATGTTGGCATTAACTGTGTCTTTAAAACTCATCACAAGCAGTCAGCCTGTAAGAGAAGTTTGTTTCTTTTACTCAAAAACATAACAGGACAGTCAGAGGGAGGTGAAGTGCAGGAACATCAGACTGAAGCTCTGTAGTTCACCTGACACCTCTTAAATAATGGCTGTGATATAAGAACACATCAGTTACTCTTAGGTTTTGGATTATATCACACACCTGTTGAACTTTCCCACTTTTGTTTCCTCTTCCTTACTTCTGCTCTACTGTTTTAACAACCTCTAACAATCATCTTCCCTCTTGCTTTCTCATTTCATCTTTGCATGTTTACTCCACCCAAACCTCCTCCTCGCTGACGCTTCTACCCATTGTCCTCTGTCCTCCTTTTATTCAAACCTCCTTTGTGTTATTTCCATCCCTTCTTCCCTTTTCTCTTCTCCTCTTCCTCCTCGTGCAGATGAAGGTGCTGAAGCGGCAGCAGAGGATGATAAAGAACCGGGAGTCGGCCTGCCAGTCGAGGAAGAAGAAGAAGGAGTACCTGCAGAACCTGGAGTCTCAGCTCAGGGAGGCCCAGCAGGAGAACGAACGTCTCCGCAGAGAGAACCAGGCGCTGAGGGAGAGGCTGGCCGGGAAAGAGGTGAGGATGTGACTCTTCATCAACTTTAGCTCCTCCTCTAACCATCCACCACACTTTGTCCTCCAAAAAGTATGGAGCACTGACTTCAGGGGTCCCTTAGAAAAGACAAATGTATGAAAGACGGACAACTTTTTAGAAACCTCTACTGTTCATCTTTCCTCTTGAGCTTAGACTTCATTTAGACAGTTTAACCGCTGCACTTTGACATTTATGTCATGACTAAATTTAGTAACATGTTTTCAGCCACCAAACCGTGCAGGTTGGTGTTACAACAAAGATCACACATGAAAAGGCAGAAAACTATTTTAGAAAGATCATTATAAAGCCAGTAACTCTAGATTAGCCGATAACACTAAACATTTAAAAAAAAATTGATATTTTCAAATATTAAATTTTGTTAATTTTCAAGTTTTATCGACAGAAGTGCTGTTAAAGTTTTTGAATTATCATAAAAAAATCTCCTGGTCAAAATGATAAAGTTTTACTGTCCAGTCCACATTTATCTCCCTAGAAACCCAGAAACTTGTTTCAGCTTTTCAGAAACAGTGATGAAACAATGAGAGAGCCAGTAGGTGACTGCAGCTCCTCTAATTTGTTTTTGTGGTGATTTTGAAAATCCTTTTAATAAGATAATGTGTTTACAGAGGCATTTGTTGCAGATCTTTAAATGGTCCAATCTGGTTTAACTTCCTCTTCTTTCTAATGTTCCAACTGACAACGATGGTCTCAAAAATGAGATTAATTAATGAATGATAAAGAAAGGAATAAATAGCTCATACTGTACTTGGAATATGGAAAAGGCTGGGATTAAAGGAAATATCCTGCTGATTTCCCCGTAGGCTCTGACTGCAGCACAGAGGGGTTTAAAGTACAGCTGCAGCTTATGAGTTCAGTTAACAACAACAGGTTGAACAGGAAGAAATAACTCTGAGAAAAGGAGAGAGGAGAAGATCCAGACTGAACCGCAGAGAACAAAAACATTCGAAGGGAGAGATCTGTTCAACCTGTAAAACCTGATGATGGAAATCGGTGAGAAAGTGTTGAACAAAAAGTCACACACTGCTAGTTTAGTTTAAACACTGAGCATTGGTTAAAGGAAATAAACCTCAAAGACTGTTTGTTTTCTTAAAATCACAGGAAAAAATCTTGTTAATCCAGTTCAAGTCACAGAGCAAGCAAGGAAAGAGCTGTAAGGTGCTTCTGTCTGCATATGGTTTTGCATGTAAAATATTTTGTGTTTTTCAGGGCAGCGACTCGGCGAACAACAAGAGAGCCATATGCGTCATGGCCGTCCTGCTGTTCATGACCTTCAGCTTCGGACCCGTCAGGTATCCTGCGCACTGCTCACGGCTGTTTCTGCATCTTTTTCATGATTTTATTACTTGCTTTTTATGTGTTTTTTACATATTTATCTTATTTGTTTATTTAATTTTTATGTCCCCTGAAAAGAAAAGTGACCTAATCAACTAAAATATCCAGTACTTCCAGGATCTCATGTGTATGATGACACTGAAATACACAACACATAAGAGAACGGTTAAATCCGTTCATTAGTCCCAAATTTAACTTGAAATCTACAAATCCAAAGAAAATGGTTTGATTCTGGAAAACAAGAGTTTTGTGACTGAACCGCCCCGCTGGTCTTCTTCACTGCAGCATCACAGACAGGAAGCTGACGGACCTACAGGAAGGTGTGGTGTCGTATACGGGCCGGCGGCTGCTGGAGATGGAACAACAAGACCAGCAGCAGCAGCAGCAGGAGGCAGCTGCTCCGCCTCCGAGCAGAGTGGACGACAGGACAGATACGGAGGAGGAAGCCGGAGACGAGGCTGCAGGGTCGTTTCAGTTCAGGTGAGATAAAAAACATTCCAAGACTGACTCGTTCAGAGTCTTTCTGTATTCATTCAACATCATATTTGAAACTATCATCTCCACAGTATTCACTTTCCTGAGCAGAACATGTTTATTTTTATACTGCAAGTTACCAGAAAATCAAACTCACAATGTTCATTTTTGTCGTTCAACTAGAGCTGAAACTATTAATGAAAAATAAACTAAAAATGAAAAATAGTGCAAAGGTTGAACACAAATGTAGTATTTTGTTTTTTGTTAAACTTTGACCACGTAATATAAACTAATTGAGACCTGATGCAGGAATCTTGTGAAGGAGTCTGTGGTGTTTGACTGCCAGATTTTAAATAAACAAAACAACTACAGAGTTCAGAAAACATCTCCAGACCACTGACACTGCCTTCCACCAGGTTTTCATTGACATTGGCTGCTTCTAACTTTGTTTGACGCTGGACAGTATTTATGAAGCGCACCAATCCGACACGGTTTTAATTGATATTGGTATTTGAAATGGTAACTCTGGTTTACCATTAAGCCGGTAACCGTTTTATAACCCTAGTGTCAGCTCAGCTTAGAGAAACACATGCTGACGTGTTCTTCAAAGAAATGCGTTGCTGACTGTGTCTGTGCAGCATCCTGATCTCTGTGTGTGTTCGCAGGAACCTGAGTGACGTGTTCAGTGACATGAAGGATTTGGTGCTGCAGGACATCGATCGTTACTTCACCTCCTCAGACTGCAGACAGTTCAACCGCTCCGAGTCTCTCAGGTCAGTCAAAGCTCTTAAAATCTAACAAGTTTGTGTTTGGCCGGGCAGTCAGTCCCGCCTCTGATCCTTCCTCATCCTCCTCATCTCCTCCTCCAGCTTCCTCTTAGATTAACTTGATATAAACACACATACAGTACCAGTCAAATGTTTGGATGCACTCTCTCATTTGAGTGAATGGAAGGTGTGTCCAAACTGCGACTTTCTTAACCTGCAACGCTCGGTATGAACTTCGGCAGCTCTAAAGATAATTTCATTTATACACATAAAAAGTAAAATTTAATAACCTAAACTTTGTTCATACCTTATAATGGAAATGCCAAAAATCGTGTAGCCATAGTTTACATGTTATGGTAATAATGTACTACATCATATCTCAATATTACCACAGACAAACACTACCTGTCACCATCATATATGGTTCTGGTGTTTGCTGTTCTATGTTACCCTGCATGTACTTTAAGTAAAAGTACAGTACTGAAAGCAACAATACTGTTACTTTTATCAAACTGTGATACTGTTGTTGCAGAAATGTTTGAAGGATATAAAATGATGCTCTATTTAAGACCGTTTCACATGTGATGGAAAAATGTATGTATGAGAAATAAATGTTAACGAAATGAAATGTTAAGATTTAAATTCTACTTTTTCTAAATTGGGCTAAAATGAGCGCCGCTGATATTTCTACCTACACGTCTCTTTTCTCCTGTGCTGAATTAACCTTTTCCTGTCTCCTCCATCCTCAGTATTTAAAGTATTACAGCTGTTAGATTTTCTCCTGCCGTTGCTTTTGTCTCAGGTTCATGTTTCTTGCTGTGTTTCTGTCCCTGTCTGGATTCTAAGCTGAACTGTTTTGTGGATTTCAGGCTGGCAGATGAGCTGAGAGGTTGGGTCCGCCGACACCAGATCGACCGGAAGAAGTCTGGAGGAAAACCAAAAATCGCCAAGAAGGCCAAGATTGCCCAGGTTCAGGAGACTGTTTTCTTCCTCTTAACACTGACGCTTCTTCTTCTTCTCTGTCGGCCAGTTTTTCAAGCTCCATTTGAATATATTTCAGAGAACATATTTGCTGCGTCTGTACAAGCTGCTATTTGCTTTGCATCTCTTAGAGATCAGCTAATCTGATTTCCATATTAGGATCATTAAAGTTTATATTAATTATGTTTCAATCTCACTTTATTTCCTGCAGAAAGCTCAGATGAGGAAGACAAACTTCTCCAGATATCTGCCGATCCAGACTCACCGCTCCATAGAAAGGTACTGCAAGCTGTCATTAGAGAAGATTCAGTCCAAGCGTGAAGAGAAATGCAAACTCTCCCGAAACTGAGAAAAAAAAAAAAAAATATATATATATAAAAAATTTATACTTAAAGTAAACCAGTGTATTTGTGTCAGCTGGGTGAAGTGAAAGACGAAACAGTGTACAGTTACATTAGAAACAGGAAGTATACTTGAAAGGTTTGCATGTTTCTTACATTGTTTTCTTACCAAAAAAAAAAAAGAACTACTGCTAACAGACTTGGCAACTAATAAAGTTACATAAAACATCCCTAAATGTTTAAAAGCCATTTTCAAGTTAGAAATCCAGTCCGACTAAACTGTTTGTGCGGCGATCAACAAATCAAGTGAACTGTCGCAGTAAATTTTAATAACAACCTTGATCTTTTTTTTCTGTCTGCAGTCAGCTGCAGGTGCTTCCTGGTCCTGAGGTCACCTACAGCGACTTCCTGGACGCCATCGACCGCAGAGAGGACACTTTCTACGTCGTCTCTTTCGGACGGGTACGAGGACAGCTCAGTCCAGGAAAACATTTCAACACAAACTAAACTTCTGTCTAAAAGGAAGCTGTAGCTGCGTGTGTGTGCGTTTGGCTGATCTCTGGTCAGCAACATTCACAACAGCTGATCAACTCACACAGATTCTCTACATTTGTTTTAAGGATTCCTGAAAAATAAAATACTACAGTATGTGTTAACCATAAAACATGTACATTGATAATAATAATAAAAACTTTGTGTTGTTTAAGGATATTTAAAAATCGCAGCCAGAACGTTAGTAGTTCAATTTCTTTTTTCATCCCCGTGTTTAAAAAGAAAGTTTTGAGATAGAGAAAATAGAAATCTTTCTGACTTTAGTGTCTCTCTCTCTCCACAGGATCACCTGTTGTTACCAGCCATCAGCCACAATAAAACCAGCAGACCTAAAATGTCTCTGGTGATGCCGGCCATGTCTGTGAACGGTGAGTCTGTCTGAAGGTTAAACTGCTCTGTTGTACTGTGAAATAATGAGATGGTGAACTGGGCAGAACTGCAGGCCAGAGGAGTAAAATTTGCTTAAAATGTCATTCAAAGCAACTGCATGTACTAAAATAAATTGTAAACTAAAGCAATGTGTTAATTCTTGTCATAACATTTTCACATAAATGAGACCTGATATAAATGCGTACAGTAGCGTCAGCGTCAGAGACAACAAGTTTGAATTGTGCCCTAAATTCCACACGTGATGTTTGTCAATTGAAAAGATAATTTTGCCAAGTCAAGAAAGTCGCAGTTTAACTGTGGTGAAACTGTGGAAGCAACATTTAGATTTGTGTGAAACCGCTCTGTGAACTACATCTCTCGTCTCCAACGTGTTAGCGCTGTAATGCTAAGCTAATGTTTGTTGCCTTGTTGCTACTAGCTAGGTAGCTTAGCTATGTCCCACGCACAAATCTCACCTGATGTGTTTAATCCAAAGACTCCTGGTCTTTTCATCACATCATTTACTTCTTTGACGTTAGCTTTAGTCATTGAGACAAACTGTTATGACGTCACATACGCGACTTTGGGGAAGGGAGGGTTCCCTTTCAGTTAAATCAGAACAAAAGTTAAAACTAATATCTGATTAAATAGTCAAAGCCTGTTGACATAAAACTGGAGTGGAGAGGACTCCCAGGATGCACTTCAGTAAAAAACATCCAGTAACTGATCGTCGTGAGAGTGTTTTGGTCACAGCAGCAGCAGCTGAGGCTCATGGGAATTGTGGTTTTCAAGGCACAAATAATCTAATCACAATCGCGATGTCGTCATGTGCGATTACATAACCGATTGTTCGATTTAGTAAAACTGTAAAAGTGTGCGTGCATGTGCCCCTGAAAACAGATAAGCCTGCGTGCGAAAAATGAGAAAAATAATTTATGAGCAGTGTGCGAGTAACTTTTAAGACAACAAGCTACCATAACCCCCGCTAATCGTTCAAAACATAGTCGGGTTCGTTGGCGGTGCTCCAGTCGCTCTGTGACAGAGAGACGTCGTCAACAGCTAAAGCAGTAAGACAGAATAAGATAAAGAAGGTTTGAGTTAACATTAGCTGGATCGATGACTTTTGTTGTTCAACATGCTCAACTTTTCGCAGAGCCGACATGCTTGTCAGCCGCTTCTCGTCAACCGACCAGTCGCAGCCTGGATGGGGCGGGACATTAAAAAAAGTTTGACGTGCTACAGCAAATCTTTAAATGTTGAACAATATGATTATTGACAAGTTTGTGCTCAGCATTAACAAATTAGAGACCAGTGTAGAACCTTTTGCTTGCACAAAGATTAAATTTAAAAAAAACAACCTACAGAAATGAAACAGCTGGAACTGGTTTTAATACTCAAGTAAAAAAGTAGACGGAGTGCCAATATTTGATGCTTCTAGCCGCCTCGTCCTGAGAGCAACACGCTCCCCTTCTTCTGTTTTACATCTGTTTTACTTCCTGTAAATATTGTTTATTGTTTAACTTTGTTCAAGTTGAGAAAAACACATTTCAAAATGTCAGCATTTTCTGCTTTCCTTAATAATTAAGTAGACTCGGCACCGTTTTTCTCCAAATCGTGCAGCCCTAAAACTGCATTTCATTAGCTCTGTACACGTACTTTGCATAATGACAATAAAGTTTAATCTAAAAAAGAACGTAAATAACGTCTCTCCCCCTTTCCTCCCTCCCTCCTCCCCCGTCTTCCCCCTCAGAGAGTCTGTATAACTCCTCTCAGGGCTACGAGATGATGATGCAGGTCGACTGCGAGGTCATGGACACCCGCATCGTCCCCATCAAGTCCTCCGCCGTGCCGCCGTCTCTCCGTGACCCGCCCCCGCCTCCCCCCTCCTCCCACCACAGCCCCCACCATCACCACAGCAACCACACCTCGCTGCGAGGGCGCCACCACCATCACCCCTCTTCCTCTTCATCGTCGCCATCCCCGAGGCAACCTTTACCCGCCCGCCGACAGACCGCCGAATATTTAATCAGCCAATCAGAAGGGGTCTGATGGAAAGAGACAGCGATGGCAAACAGAAAACATTACAGTTTGACGCTTAAAGATTTGTTTGTTTTGATGTTGTCAAAGACGGATATCTTTAAAAATAACGTCATCATCCCTGCGGCAGGTAACAAATACACATTTCTTCTTTCTCCATGAAACACCTGCAGAAGGATTTTAATCAGTGACCACTGTCACCAAGCTCTTAGAAAATAATGTCCTAATGTATAAATTTCTAAAAATGAAAGTCGGATGCAGACGCGGGAGCGCACCGCACTTTGAACGAGTGCTGCGTTTTAATATTTAATTGTGAAAATGTACAGTTTGAATGCATGTTGGACACGTCTCCACTTCCTCCCACTGTACAAAATGTCTGTCCTACCCAGTAGCGAGCGGGGCTCAGCTGTCAATAATGACGTGAAACCATCTTTTATAGTTCGTCCCCACCTGTACTGCAGCCAGCCGCCGGGGGCGATCGAGCTGTCATGTCTTCCAGTCTGTGGTTGTAACTGGTTCGGCCCACGGGTGGCGCTGCAGGGCTGCACAGTTACAGTGAAAAGTTCCCTGGATATCAGGATTAATATTTTTCTGCATAATCTCATCTGTTCTAATTCAGTCGGAGTGAAATATTTTCATCAGCAATAAGAGAAGCTAAAATCAAGACTGTGCAGCTCCGGCAGGGGTGTTTTCCCCGACACGTCTCCCGCTCGGTCGTGGTTCCTGTGGAGTTTCCGTTTGTATATTTGTGTTGACGAAAACCGAAAACATGTAGTCTGGATGTTTGAGATCAGTTCTGACGGCCGCTGCGTGAAGTTGGATCTTGATGTTAGCAGGAAGAAGAATAACTCCACTGTTTAAACATCTGATATAAATATGTCCGTCTCTGTTAACATCAGCAGAGGCTAACATTTCTCATTAATCACATACGGGAAAAACATGAAGAAACAGCATCTTTTAGTTCCTGACAGAAGCTCTAACAGCTAAAACACGTGTTTTAATGTTGAGTTGTTTTTCACAAAGAAGAGCTGATTTGTCATTCTTGTAGTTTCTTTATAAATTATACATCTTAAGGAAGCTGGACGGATGTTTGGCCTTTTGTAGAGAAGCTCACAGCACACCTGAAACAATTAGTCGATTTATTAGTTAATTAGTTTATCAAGAGAAAAATAAGTTGATTAATAGTTTCAGTCATTTAGTTTCAAGCCTAATTACCACATATTTGCTGGTTGCATCTTCTCAAATGTGGGAATTTGCTGCTTATCTTTCATATATCATTGTAAGAAACTTTAAAAATAGGCAAATTAATCCAATAAAAGAAAATAAAAATTGTAGGAAAAAGTGCTCTGTCTACTCAAGTAAGAGAAGTAATTTCACAATAGGAAAAATAATTTAAAATGTTACTTAAAGGACTTCATGATTCGGTTACAGCGTCTAGTGGAGCTCGCAAATCCTCGAGTTTGATGCTGCAAAGATAATGTGTCAGATGAAAGTGATAGTTGCATAAAAACAACAGTAAGTTAGTGGTTAGTCAGCGATTTGGCCGACTGGTTTGGCCTGCTCATCAACAAGACCTGATTGCTTCACTTTGCCCTAAAAAACAAAACAAAAACAAACATCACGCTCCTTCTGAGTCATATCTGATATCTCTGTCCATCACAAATAAACCGTCCGTAAATTAGTTTAAAAGTCGTAGGAATAAAGACAAATCGTGTAACTAACCAGAACTTGCCTGAGAATCATCACAGTTTTAAGTTTTGTTCAGGATCACAGTAATCCAGTGATGGCTGTTGGTACATCCGGGGGTACGCTGCTAACAGGAAGTGCTAACTCGGCTACTTTGGATGCCTCCAGTTTGCCAAATTAAGGCTACAAACAAATACAGCAAATAAAGTCGAAAAACCTCAGAGAAGCTGTGACCAGCTTTTTTTTTTTTTTACTAATCATTCAACAAAGTTTCAGATCAGCTGATTTCCGTCTCTGTCTGATAAACGCATGAACAGGGTGCTGATGGATTTTTGCTGAGCAGCACTTGATGTTTGGTGCCTTGCTCAGGGACTCTTTACCCTCCTGTTCAGTAAGATCCAACTTTGTGTGGCGGCCATCGGGTTTATTCATGTTTGTCCTTTTTTTTTTTTTTTTTTTTTTTTTTTTTATAGAAAAATCTCGTTTTGAATGGGGATTATTTAATAGTTGTAAATATCAGTGTTGACTTTGTAGATATATTGTTTGTTTGTGTCACCTTTTTTATAATTATTTAATTGCTTTTGTCTTTTTCACAACAAAAAGTAAAATCGAAGAAAAAAAGAAATAAAGTGGTTCCTGGAATAACGAGGCTCGCAGTGAAACAAAACAGACTGCTGTTGAATTTTATATTTTTGTGTTCAGTGGACCAACCACCAAGTCGCTCTGCGCTAGTTCATAGTATGAACTCAGGATATTCTGTCCTGATACAATATATTTATGGAAATATATACACTGCTTTGTACAGAATAAACTTGTAGGGAGTTTCAGTTCCTCCTGCAACTACAGAAAAAGTTTTGTTCTAAAAAGGTACCGAAACCATCCCAGAAAAGATCATTACTGCCAAAACAAGTCACCATTGTTGAGCCTCTTTCACCTGCAGACACGATGATTTTTTTTTTTACTTGTAAAATTGAGTTTGTAAAAAATAACAGAACGACATGTTTCAGGGTTTCTTTGTTTTATCAAAAAGACCTTGTTTTTCTTCTCGTCTTTGTGTTTTTGCGTCTTAAATTGAATCTTTTCATCAAATCAAAAAGCCTTTAAATCTAAGTTTAAAGTGTCATTCCAACAATTTTACATATGAAGATCAGTTTACTTGACATTCTGTAGGCTCAAAGTTTTTTTTTTTTTTTTTTAACGCGTTACAAAACATAACACTATAAAACAACATATTGACAATCAAATAACTAAAACTTGCCATTTAGCAAAAAGAACTACAGGAATATTTAGTATTTGCTGATGAAATAGGATTCAAAAGAGAAAACAGTTAATAATTTTTCATTTTGTTGCCAAGAGTCTGACACATTAACTCCCTGTAAAGTGATGAATTGTCGTTTTTACACTTGGATTTTTGTACAGTTTGAACAAACAGTATAGATGGTGTTATTCAGTGCGAGGTGGATTTTGTTACTTTTGACCAAAACTAGCTGTTTCCCCATTTCCAGTCTTTATGCTAAGCGAAGCTAAACAGCTTCATATTCTCTGTGCAGACATGAGTGGCATCAACCTTAACGTCTCTCTAAAAACTATTACTTTAACTAATCTGGGTATTTTTCTGTTTGTTTATTTTTTATTTAAACGGATAAAAATCATAAATATGTAAATAAATCTTTCTATTCCATCCCCAGTGATGAAAAGACAGCGTTTGAACTGCTGGAATGTTTTGTAGGAAACAAAGAGATGACTTTCATAAAGATATAATAAACTAAAGCTCAGTTCTCCTGTTGTTTGTTTAAAAAATGTTCTCGCATCAACACGCTAAACTTCACATCAGCTACATTAAATACAGAGACACATAATAAAGCTGTGTCCAGTTATTTAAATCAAGTAGAGACACAAAATATCTGTTGGCACATTTACTGAATGAGCTGAAAGTGATTAATCTGCTGTAAAAACAAACAGTCTGCAGCCATGATCACAGCTCGGTGAGACTGTACAAACTGACACAATGCTAACATTGAGATGTTTGCAGATATATTATCTTAGTTTGGTGTGTTGGCATGCTAACATTTGCTTAGTAGCGCTACACACAACTTACAGCAGAGGCTAAAGAAAATGTCATCTGTTCTACAGGGTCATTTACCAAATTGGTTGCATCCTCACAAAGCATGACTTGCATTTATTCAAAGATTTATTTGTACCATCAATACCCGTCTCAAAATGCTAACCATCAGCGCTACTGATGTTTAACAGGCATGTTTACCGTGTTCAACATTTACTGATTGGCAGTAAACACAAAGTACAGCAGAGGCTGATGGGAAATCATTTCTTTTTCAGGTATTTGGTCATAAATCACATTAAAATGTTGACCTGATGATGGCGCTAGAGGTGAAGTCAGGATCACCAAAGTTATTACAGTTCACCCTCTGAGGATTATTAAAGACAGCATGGCTAAAAACTTCAGTAAACAACACTAAAGAATGTTGAAACGTGTGAATAAGACGCAGCTTGAAGATGCTCCTGAAACTCTTCCAGTGGATATCTGACCTGCGACAGAGACAACGTGACCCAGCTGCAGACCACCTGAGGCCTTCAGCTCTCAGTCTGACAGTCTGATTGTGGAGCTGTTAAACGTTCAGTTTTACAGCGTCACTGAGCTGCTGTGGAATAAAGTTCAGTCATAAAAACAGCCGTGGTCACATGCTGCTGCAGCTGCAGCAGGTTAATGAGTGCACCTGAGGAGACCTGAGGGTGGAGGGCAGCACAAACGCTGCCAGGGGGCCCATATGTACAGGTGTCCTCACCCTTACCTGAGGGACATCTCTGGCTGAGAGAACTGGGAACGAGGTAACGTCAAATGTCTGTGTAGATAATTGTTATCCAGCTGCTGCAACAAATTGCAGCTTACAAAATTACTTTTCATCAAGTACAGTTTTGCTTTACTTACTTTACTTTTTACTGCACTACATTTATTTGATACTAGTTACTTTACAAATTAACAGTTTACATTAAACACATTTTATGGGCTTATTAAGGACGACAATTTAAAAAAAAAAAACATTGTGTAGTCTTTTCACAGTTCAGAGTTGTTGGCAGTTCCACCAAAGAGACATTTCACGTCTAAACTTCTCAAATGTTTTCATTTCAATAACAGTTCGAGATTTTCACAGACTTTGTCATCTTTCCCCTCCCTTCAGTCATTTCACGGCCACTCAGATTTATCTGGTGACCCTGTAGAGGGTTGGGAACCACTGGACTAAACTACACTGCATGCACAATTATTATTTCTTCTCCATGTGCTTTGTGAGCCCCAGTTGACTAGAAGCAACAAAATGTTTGATTGTCTCACAGGTTTAGCTATTTTACAAGCATCTGTCTGCAAGGCATTTTACAATTTTTGACTTTGAGTTTGAGATACATCTCTAAGAATCCGCCTAATAATTATGCACACCTTGATGTATCTCCTGAGGCCACAACCTCCCTCTTTACACAAAAACACATCACCTGATCTGCTTAAATCCAATGAAAATTCAACTTTATACAGCTTGGAGTTAGAAAATTATGATATGGTCACTCGCCTAATAACTGTGCATGCAGTATAGCTGACTGTATATAAAGTAGTTAAAACTATCTCCACCTTGAGCAGCTACAACATTACAACACCAGCTAATAATGAATCATTCACAGCAGAACCACTTTAACTTGTAATCCTTTAAGTATATTCTGCTGAGTGGTACACAAACTGCTTTTAAATGGCACTTCACCCAGGAACTAAACTGAACACTGACTGTGTTTACAATCTGTTTTTGACTGATATCTCCTTGTTGCTGGTGGTTCGTTCAGCAGCTGGAGGGCGACGCTGCGCTGCAGAGAGAGGCTGAAGATCATCCTGCTGCTCCTGGAAAGTGACCGTAAGTACTGTCAACTGGTGTCGGACATACTTTTTACATTTAAAAAAAAACAGGCAAAGACAGACTGATATTTGCTGCCGACGTTGTTTAGAAAAGTTTGCACCACTAATTATAGCTCTCTTCTCTCCAGCGTCTAAAACCCATGAAAACACAAACAACATGTTCAGATCAACAAGTTAGTTGAAATGTAGAAAAGTGCAGAATAAAGAAACATATCTAAACTGTGTAAATAAAAATTACACATTCTCATCATGTTTTTAATATTTTAAATATACATATTTGTATTAAATCAACAGTATTAAGGATGTTTAACCCCCTTAAATGTGTCTCAGAGGAGCTCAGAGACAAACAACAGGTTTATTTTAACCTTTGCAGGATTATTAGCTGTAACTGTTTGAAGGAGGTTCGTCGCAAGGAAGAGATGCGAGTGAATGAAGAGCTGCAAGCTGACAGCCGTCTGACCTGTTTTAGTGCCCACGAGCAACAACACTGAATCCCAGACAGGTTCAGAGGTCACTGCTCTGTTTGACCTCCGACAACATTTACCCAGAGAGAATTTTTTTTTAAAGTTTCACAACCATTAAAACAAAACAGACAAAATATAATTGACTTCATAAATTATAAATAAACTGCAGATGGACGAAACGCACGCACACACAGTGAACTGTCTGCCAGGGAAACTCATCAATGAGTTGATTACTAATCCTCAGCATGATATCATATCCTAACTGTGTGTGTGTGTGTTGGATGAAGTCATGGTGTGTACTTCACTGTCTGGTTTCTTAGCTCTGTATTAATGATTGTTTTCCTCCTCAGCAGCCTTTAAATCTGCAGCTGCTGACAGATGCTGGCGAGAGAGAGAGAGAGAACACGCTCTCTTAGTCTCTCGCCCACTCCCTCCCTCTTTCTCTGACAACTCCCCATTTTTCATGGAGGATCATTAGCGACAAAACGGGGGCCAACATGCGGTTTTATTTTAAAAGAGTTATGGCTGATTTAAGAAAATGTGTGCGTCCTTTCAGAGTCAATGCAAGTAGGAAATAAGACAGAGGACGGAAGACAAAGCACAAACAACTAAAAACAAATTGCCTTTAATGGATTTAAACTATCTGTAAATCCAGATTTCAGGCAGTCTGAGGGACATCGTTTTAATTATCTATGGCTCTTGATTTGACTGACCTACAGTCCTTTTGCTTCTTATCTTCGCAGCTTTTTACTCTCGCTTTGGTTGTTTTGTGTCCCTCACAGATTTGACCTGGAAGTGAAGAGAAATTCTGTTAAATATTACAATTTTGGTCTTATTCTTAGTAGTACTGACAGTCATTTCTATTGTGCTGTAACCAAGTTCTTTTCTGAGATCTGGAAACACGGTGACAAACTGGAAAGTAAAACAGAAAGTGAGTAAAAAGACCTGTCGTCGTACAGGAAAACTGTGCACACAACAGTACAGTTACAGCTCTGTGTTAGCCTAGATTTGTTCACATGATGGCAAACCGTCGGCATTAAAAGTATATCGAATTAGGTATTAGCATTTCCTGTGTGCAGTGCACCAATGTATGCACAGACAGCTATCACTGGATTACTGTGATACTGAAGAAAACTTAAGATCTTGAGGATTGTCAGCCAGGCTCTGCAGATTTATAGATGTGTGTTTGCAGAGAAAGTGACATTATCATTTGCACATGTTTACGCTTCCAAATGAGACTAACCTGGAGGATTGTTTCCAACCTGTTTGATAATTGGACTGTTTCTGGTTCTTACTTCATTTTAAGCCCCCGTCAGACCAGAAAGTGGCACGATGAATATATCGGTGTGTCCTCACAAAACATGACTCCTCGCAGGGATAGTTGGCGAACTACTGGAGCAATTATGCTTGCTTAACTATCAGTTAACTTTTAGCTAGTTTGCTTGGTCATCCTCTTGAGGACCGGAGGCAGCACGCAATTCTCGCGCAAAATGCAAATGGAAATTTCATGTCTGAAACTAGTATTTCATCACCCTATCCAGGCTACACACCTCTGTGAAGCTACGAGGCTCAGCTAGAAGCTCAAACCAACCATTTCTATCCAGATCAAACACACATCAATCACCAAGCATCTAAATAAGCTTATATCACAACATAAATCGCTCTGTGACACTGTACATGGCTGCAGTTATAAGCATCCAGTTATCTCTAATCACAACGTATCCTCATGTCCAACCTTTCAAACCAAAGCTAATCTCTCCCTGAGATCAGCTGCACATCACTCAAATCACCAAAATTATAGACTAATTATCTGGATAAAAGTAAGAACAAACGAGCCAATATAAATATACAATTACAACCGCTGACTCACTTTTGCCGATTTTTGCCGTTTTCAGTCCAAAAGTCAGCTGATTTCTTTCTAAAAATATCTCCAGGCGCCATCTTGATTATTGCACAATACCTGGCGCCCTGCCTGCCTTCTCTGACCTTTTTCTGCAGAGGAGAAGCGCCGCTTTGGAACACCTGGTCTTTATTGCGGTCTGGCGGTCGACCCGTAAGGCAAGGCAAGTTTATTTGTATAGCACATTTCAACAACAAGGGTAATTCAAAGTGCTTTACATAAAACATTAAAGCAACTGGGAAATAAGTTAAATAGAAAAAAAAAACAGGCAGGTCTCCCACCTTTGCTTATTTTACTTCCCCATCTCCCACTCTATCCCCCCTTTAGTTACTTGGGGACTCTAACTCTAAGGGGACTCTTGCCCTTTAACAGTTAGGGACTTAGGGACCATAAAGCTACATAGACATCTAGGGTATCAAATAAAAGGTCTGCTCAATCCGGATCAATATATCCAATATATACGACTGTAAAGCACGGGAGTGCTTTTGGTCATAGGAATATTGATCAATATTTACTGTTTTTATCAATATTTCAATGTTTTGGTAACTTGTTATGTTATTTGGAACGTGGTTTTATAGACATAAATAGTGTTATAAAGGTAAAAGTCAACAGTTAAACAGTAAATATTGCCAAAATATGGACAGAAGATATTCAGTTTCATTATGATCTATATTATGATTTTTTTGATGGTTTATTGCATTAATTTTTTTTTTTTTTTACCAGACGAGGATGAAAATATCATATTTTTCTTTATTGCAACTCCATTTAGTCTGTAATGGTAAAATAAATATGTTAATGGATACAATGGCTTTATATTCCTTAGCTTCTGACCTTTCAAAGGAGACCAGAATTATCCATCGAGGCCAAATGGTTATGGAGTTATTCCTGATTCATTTTGGGTTTGTTATTTTAGGCCTTTTTCCTGGAAAAAGGCGGCAGTTTCCAAAAGGTGTCAGTAAGTGAATTTTTTCAAAGCTGTACTTTCAATACCTGTCTCATAATGCCAAACATCAGCACTACTGATTTTTAGAAGCCATAATGTTTCCCATGTTCACCGTTTAGTTTAGCGTGTTAGCATTTGTTAATTAGCAGTAAACACAAAGAGGTGTCATTCGTTTTTCAGGTATTTGGTCATAAATCAAAGTTTTGGACATATTAAAATGTTGACCTGATGATGGCGCTAGATAGAAAGTCAGAGAATCACCAAAGTTATTACAGTTCATCCTCATTTCATCACAATCTGTCCAACAGTTGTTGAGACGTTTTAGCCTGAACCAAAGTGCAGACAAACCACAGAGTCGAAGACGGAGACAAACTTTTAATAAAAGACAGACACTTGAGGATTATCAGTTTAACACCTGTCTGTCTGTCTCTTTCCAGTCATTCTATTACGGCGCTGACAATTTTTAAAACTGCAACTACAGATTCCCATCTCACATCATACGTCTGTGAAATAACCTGAAGGACGTTTATGTGAAAACACAGAAAAAAAAGATTCAGACACACGTTTTCCCAGACAGACATATGACCGATAAAAATATAGTGTTTTCCGACTGGTAGATCATCTGTGTGTGCAGACTGGTTTACGTTCAGTTCACACCAAATTACTTTTAAAGGAAAGGAATAAATGAGCAAAATCCTCTAATATGGATGTAATTCCCAGTAATACTCAGTTTTGCCCCAAGCACAAAGAAAATACAGCCTCCTCTTAATGTATTATCATTTTATTATTCATTTAAATTTAGGTCTTGTAAAAATGAAAAAGTCTCAAAGAGCTGTCAGTAATTCATTTTGGATAAGAACATGAACTTGTGTGTAAAGTCAGCAGGTAAACAAAACAATCTTTATGTTTAAATTTATAAAAGTTACATTTTGTGATGCAGTAAAAAAGTGTGTTTTTAAACTTAAAACTCTCCCATGATGATGCATCTTAATAGTTTTATTGCAACCGGAGAAAAGCAACTGTGGCCGCCCGACTAGGTGCCTACAGACGCCTTGCTCCCGCGAGGTTTTAATGTCATGTGACATGGTGACGTTTTGCAGCGCCGGCGAAAGTCGGACACAATTTCTAACCAGCATGCCTTGTTTCAAGTCCAGCATGCATCACGTTAAGTCAGTGCTGCTAAAGTCAAACACACCTTGTGTGTGGACACGCACTTACACGCCCTGGATATACTTGCTTTTAACTACACATTTGCGTACGCAAGATGGCTGCCATGCAAATCCTGCGTTCCTTTGGAGCGTAGGTTGTGCACGTCTCCAGGAATTAACGCTACGCGTCCGCAAGATGCAATTCAACACATGAACATGAGTATGTCGATCTGACCGGCAGGTCAGCAGCAATCTACCAGCCCAGGTGGTGGCGGTATGCAGTTCGTTTGCCAACCGTCATTAAACGCAAAAGAAGAAGAAGAAGAAGGTCAGCAGCAGACTTTAAAAAAGGAGCTTTATGGCGGGATGTTTACAATAACACTCCTGGAGCTAATCTGTAATTATCAAGATCGTTATGATGTCCCATTAAAATCACAACCTGCTCGAGTGTCACTATGTTTGGTTTGTTTACGATGTGCAAATTTGGAGGTTGTCTGGTGTTGGCGAGGGATGATCTGGTCCTGGCCTGCCCCCTGGAGGATT